GGGGCAGGCCATCTTGCGCGCTCCCAGGGGAGGGAGGGGGTGTCCAGGGCTGGCAAGAGGGCTGTGGATGCAAAATCCTGCCCATCACGATTTCTCCTCTCCCTTCCAGGTGCAACATGGGCTGCTGCTTCATCCCCTGCCTGATTGATGAATTTAAGGATGTGACCCACACCTGCCCCAACTGCAAGGCCTACATCTACACCTACAAGCGCAGGTGCTAGCAGGGCCTGCTCGGCTGGAGAGCTCTGCCATTGCCTCCTGATTTGCCTTTCCTGTCTGCTTTCATGCTTTTCTGCTCTCCTCCTTCCTTTGCCTGGGGGGGGGGGGGGTGTGGGGCCCCCCCGGGCGGGGGGGGGGGGGATCTGCTGGGCTGGCTCCTGGGGGAGGATGTGAAGGGGAAGCTGAGGCAGACGATGGCTCACCTTCCCTAGGCAAGGAGCTGCCTCTGCTTGGCTGGGGCCACCTTCTATGGGAGGACGAGGGCTTCACCCACAGTGGCGCCTTGGCACTAATCAGCAAGGAGAGGAGAAGGAGCAAAGTCTTGGCTTTTTTATTTTATTTTTTATTTTCTTCATTAAAGAGCTTAAATATAATAGTAAAAGCAAATACAAATTAAAGTCAGAAAAAGATAGCCTAGACATGCAAAGTAAGGAAAAGGTAAATAGGAAAAAGGAAAGAAAGTAAAATATGTAAAGAAGTGGCTTCCTATTTTTATCCCAAGTTAAAGCAAATTTCATATTGCCCCCTACAAAGTTACAAATATTTTTTCTTCCCATCTCTTATACACATAAAATCATAAATCATCAGCTTTTCAGTCCTGGTGTTAGCAAAAGGTCCATAAAGCCTTACCGGAGTTTTTTAAAAACCTGCCTTGATCAAGCAAAGCAACCGTATATTCCTTTCTTTTATTTCTAACCATCTTGATCTTCAATTAATTTGAATACAGCTTTTTCCATGGCTGCTTTGAGGCTTTAGCAGGCTCCTTTTGTAAATCCAGTGGAAAGTGCATCATCCAAGTCATTGTCTTGCTTTGCTTTTTGTATTTATCCTTTGACTTTCTAAGCCTTAACCAACATCTTTTATTTATCAGGTCTTTGTCTTGGCTCTTGTTCCTGGCATTTTTATTTCCAATTTGAGTATCTTGAATATTTTGTAATCCACACCTTTTTCTACGCAATATTTCTGATTCCACTATTTCTGCTTCAAGTAAAATATGTTGCACGCCTGTCATTCCTTCATGTTTTAGACAGTCTATCCAGAGAAACAGACGTTGCTACTGATACTGTTAATACTGATTTCTGGCCCTATTCTTCAAAGATCTTTAATTTAAATGTGAATGGTATATTGTATAATTTTGTAAATCCTAAAAGCAAGCTGGGATTTGGGGGGGACAACTGGATTTTAGTCCCCTCTCTTGTCCAATTTAAATCACAGGATCTCTTCTCTGTGTTATGACTTGAGGTAGCCAAAATAATTCTGGTTCTTACAAAAAGCTATTTATTTTATATAGTTAATTTCAAATTTTTATGGTACTTTCAATATTCCAAATGTGATTGGAGACTTCATTTATAACTTTATTTTAAAATCTTGTTTGGCTTTTTGCCTTTCATTTCAATTTTTTTTAAAGTTCTGAGGATTTTTTTGTTCAGGATGAACATTCATTCACTGGGTGATAGTTCAGATTTGTCCCTTTGAAGTGTTAGAATTAAGAGGTTTAAATGAGCAATTTCCAAATGTGATTAGAAGGGATGTTAGTAAACTTAATGTCCTTTAAAAGGTACCAGCCAATCCCTTTGTCTCCTGGAACTGATGCCTACAATAGACCACTCCCATGCAGTCCCCTCACAAGGAGCCGCTATCCGGAGCATATGTAGGTGATCCCTCACCCTCTCCTTAACTGGAGTAGTTCTGAAATCCAGTCTTCTCTCTCCTTCTATGTCTCCGCTCTCTTGCCAAACTCCAACCCCCAGAAGTCCAGAGCTGTTGGCTTTTCTGTTTGTCATTACTGTTGCTGAGGCCTCCCTTTCTATCTAAGGGAAAGCTTAAAGGTTTCATTCCGTGTTGGTGGTTCCCAAATCTATGATTGCTCCTTACATGTTTGAAGAGGCTGTTTGATTCTGCACAGCTCCCTGTGCTTTGTAGATTATGGCTGGGCACTGGGAGCCAGGCTGTTCCTTGCTTGCAGCTGCTGTGCCTGCTCAGGGACCTTATTTGGGAGAAAGAGGAGCCAAGGTGCAGGGGCCCCCATCATCTCTTATCTTGTTTTGTCTGAGCCATCTCTCTCAACTTGGGGGGGCAATGGCACTGTCCGTCTTAGCTGGACTTGAGTCCAGCTTGCCCATTGGAGGTGTGCAGGAGGCCCAGTGCCAGCCCACCCCCCCACCCCCGCAGGCTGTAGATATTCCTCTGCTCCGAGCCAACCCTGAGCCAAGAAAATGTGCTTGTCCCAGATTCCCTTTGTGACTGCTTGTTTCAGGTACTAAACTTAATAACTACTTTATGGAAATGTGAAAACGCCGAAGGCACACGCACACATCATTTTGCACTAGTTTTGCTAGAAAGCTCTTGTTTGGCCCTGATGAACAGGGTGCACAGGAGCTCCTGAGGTTTGTGTGGGATAGCAGGTGGCTGATCTGAGTCCCTGGCTCAATTTTCCAAAGGCTGAGCTGCCTTGTCTCAAGCAACTTGTGCCCCTATGTGTGGTAATGCCCAGGCATCTGTTCGCCCAAAGACTGCCCACTGAGGCTGCAGAGCACGGGTGGGCCTGCCCTGGGTTTGAGGGGCTCTCTAAAGCACTTGGAGCCAGCCGGAAATTCCCATCCCGTTCTTCTTAGAGGGAAGTAACCTGTCAAAGCTCTTCCATGTTTGTAATCAAATAAAAAGACTGACCCTCAGTGGTTGTGTGTGCGGTGTGTCTGTTGGGGCAGAGTGGAGGGAGCCCTGCTCATCCCCCAGAGAGGAAGAAGGGGGAATTCCTTGGTTTTATGCAAGGGGGGACAGAAGTTAACCTGGAGCTCATTTTGACCCTCTTATTTTCAGAAGGCTGTGGGCAGCCTGCTTACATGCCCTCACGTGCCAAGCGAAGGCATTCACGGGGCAGAGAAGCAGGAAAGTGCCCTCCCAAAATCATGCAAACTGCAGAAACGAAGATCAATTTTATTATGTCAGAGGCATCGCCATAGTCTATAAGTCACATGAAAATTAAACCATTACCATTTTCCATATGTACAAATTGGAGGCCCCTCCTACAACTGAACGGGAATGAAGGACATTCTGCATCCAGGTGAAAGAACTGCCTGTGCACCCCCCCCCCCCCCGTCCTCTGTGTAGCAAGGAAGACAAAAGCTCAAGCCATTCAGGCTCCCCCTCCCCTCAAGCCAATAGCTCAGGTTTTCTGCCCCTAATTGTTTGGACACACAAGCATTTGTACACTGGTTTGGGTTTAATGTTTCCACAATTAAATCCGGCATTAAAAGTCCACTTATGTCAATGGAGAAAAGGAGCACTTTCTTCAAGGGCCAACGGGCAGCCGGTGCCCAGCCTCACATCACGTACCAGGCTGCAATGCCAGCAGTGACCGCAACACAGGCTGCCAAGACCAGCTGGATGGTGGGCTGCTTCAGGGCAGCCAGGGCGAGATGGCAGGGGCAGGCAGCGTCCTTGGAGCCAGCTGAGAAAAAAAAAGGACCATTAGAGGCTGGAGGAAGCCAAAGAGGGAAGGGGGAAGACTGGGACCTACCGAGTTTCGAGGCATAGTAAGGGCACTTGCGCATGTCTCCCTTCCCATCATGCACTGGGAGGCCGCCATCTTGGGCTTCTTCTGGTAATAAAGCCCCGATCTTGTCCAGCTCCTCAAAGACCTAAAGACAAAGTCCAAGGTTTGCCCTGAGCGCTCAGTCACCAGGAGTGCTCAGCTTATTTAGGCCCAGCCCTTGTGGACTGTTCTGGGCTCCAGCCAGACTGCAAACCAGGGCCGCCTCATAGCAGTACCTGCCTCAGAGAGCGATGGGCCCAGGACCAGGCTCTGGAGCAGAAAGACTCCCTTTGCTGCCAAAACATTCCAGCCCTGTCCCTCAGGATGTCAAAGCAGGAGGCAGGCAGCAATGGAAGGCCTGGCTCAAGCCTGACATGCCACAAAAGATGCTCCTCCCTTGGGCCACAGAAAAACCTGAACTTATAATTTATAATGGAAAAAGGTTTAAACATGTAATGGATAATGATGATTTGTGTGTTTTGAAAATTAATAAAACTTGTTTTAAAAAAAAAAGAAAAGAAAAGAAAAACCTGAACTTGGCACCAGTGGCTGGTTAGGGCCTCGTGGGAGCTGAGGAAGACGTGACGGGCTCTGCTCAAGAAGGCAACAGCAGGCAGCCTGAAGGCTCATCTGGCCTTGGGAGAAGAGGCACTCTAGCCCCCATCCAGCTCCAGAAGAATGGGTTCAGATTGGGGTGGCTTTAGCAGGCACCCTGAAATCCAGCAGCCGCACACCTGCATGTTGAATTCAAAGGCCCCGTTGGCCTCCTTGACGATCTTCTCCTTGGTCTCCTGGGACACATCCAGGGCATTCAGCCGGGCTCTGTAGAACTGCTTGAACTGCTGGGGGTTAGAAATGTTTTCAAACATGTAGAAGTTGATCCCTTCTCCACTGCTTGGCAACTTCAGTGCACGCTGAGCCACCCTCTTCAGCACCTGACCCCCAGAAAGGTCCCCCATGTAGCGGGTGTAAGCATGGGCCACCAGGAGCTCCGGCTCCTGCTTCCCAACATGGTGGATGCGATCCACGTAGCGCTGAGTGGCTTCTGAGCACTGGATCTTCTCCTCCCAGCCTTCCCCATACAAATATTCCAGGTCTCTCGCCAAGGCTTCCTTCCGGTGCAGCTCCAAGGGGAAATACAGAGGGGCAAAGCAAGGCTGGTCCTTGTTGTGCTCCATCTCCTCCTCCAGCGCAGAGTATGTGAAGTAAAGGGCTGTTGTGCCCAGCTGCAAGAGAACAAAGGAGCCATGAGAGGCCAGTGGCTACCAGTCTACCCTGTTGTCCAAGCCGTTGGGCTGCTGTGCCCGAGGCCACCTTGCTCCCTGAGGCCAATGTGCCAAAACCAGCAGCGACCCTTCGCTTTAGTTAAAGAAAGATCCCCCAGTTGGACCCATCCAGGACTGAAGGAGGTTTCATTTTCAATGCTTTGAAAGCCAGAAAAAGGAGATACAAATACATTAAGGGGCCCCAGAAAGATCTGGTGAGATGGAGTGGGGACTCCAGAGAAGCCAACCCTCTTCTGCCACAGATGGGGCTGTTCTATTCCAGAGCATGGGCTAAATTTGTCTCTTGACCCCAACTAGAGACCCAGGACTTGGATAAAGCAGGGTGTACCTTGAAGAGCTCCCTCTTGATGTGTCCCTTCAGGAAATCTTTGACAAACTGGGTGTTCTCAGCCCGGTCATGGGCCTCCTTGGTCCCTTCCTTCAGCAGCTCAGACAGGTCTGTGGGACTGTGAAGAGACAGGGGTCCTGGGGAGAGTGGCAGGGCACTCAAACCATCTGCAGGCCACAGGGCAGGCCCTCAACTCTGTGGGGCATCGAGGAGAGCATGCTTTGTGCCCCAAATAATGATGTCTCCCACCTTTTGCACCTCAGGCCTTGCTAGGCAAGCTCACTCCTCAGAGAAGGGAATGGGCAAAGTCAGAGACCGCAGACTGGCGTTGGCAGTCCCAGAGGGGGCCAATCTCTTTGTGCTCCAGGACTGGCCTCCCCTCCAGGAGCCAGAGCCCCCTCCCCACCGCAACCCCCCCCCCCCCAAAAAAACCAGCATCCTCCCTTGCATGAAGCATTTGCAGGCGCTTCAGGCTCTCTCAGCCTCCACCAGCCTCTCACCACGCTACCTGGTGGTCTTCTTCTCCTCCTCCTCCTCCTCCTCTTCCTCCTCCTCCTCCTCTTCCTCCTCCTCGTAAGAATGGCTCTCCCGCTCGTCCATCAGCTCAGTAGCCTCGGTCGACATGGCGCCTAACCTGCTGGGCTGCAGTGCCGGTTCAGCTCCCGCTCCTGCAGGGAAAGAGCCCGCCACCGTTTAGCCTCCCGGAGGTCCCGCTAAGGCAGAGCTCTGCAATGTCCGAGCGAGGCCGTCGGGGCGACCGGGAGCAGCCCGGTCCGCGCCTCCATCGCAAGCAACGGGCCCGGGATGAGGGGAGGCCGCCTCGGGCCCGCAGCTGCAGCGCAGGCCGGCCCGGGCCCTCGGGGCGCCCGCCGGGGAAGGGGCTGCTCCCCTTGGCCGAGGGGCCGCGCGGGGGTCTAGGCCGGTCCTCCCGGCAGCCCCGCCGGGCCCGGAGGTGAGAGGAGGCCGCTTGGAGGGGAGAGGGCCGCAGAGGGCGCGGGGCCGACGTCCCTGCAGCACCCGGCGGTTACCTGCCAGCCGCCGCCGTCGCGGCTCTTCCGGTCACCCCGCGGACACGGCTGGCCGCCTGGCTCCGCCCCCCTCTGTCACGCGGACAAAGCGCGCTGAATATGCATGAGCCGCGTCCGGGGAGGCATCACAGCGCCCCCTGCAGGGCGGGGCTCGTCCTTGAGCGGCGCTCCGCCCTCCGCCGGCGAAGGCGCAAGACGGGCGGGCCCTTCCCGGCTCTGCGCAACCCCCCGTCGAAGCCGCCGCTTTGCCCAGCCAGCAGAGAGCGGAGGCTCGGAGGGCGCCGGCAGGGAGCGGTATCGTCCCCAGCTCCGCCCCCACCAGAAAGCGGCTCCCCTCCCACCGAGGCAGAAGCGGCCAGGCCCGTCGCTCTGGAGATCTTCCTCGCCCACGATTAACACGGAATCCTCCCGAGGAGAGCGGAGAGCTCCGCTGGGGCTGCTGGGCCAGCCGGCCTTCCTGGGCTCCCCCGAGGCTGGCAGGAGCTCCTCGGCTGCCCCGGCGCTGGCTTTTCTGCTTCTTAGCAAGCCTCTTCTTGGGCCGGGGACGCAGCTCCAGGCAAGCCGAATCGGAGCGCTTTCCTACCTAAGACGCCCTTCTCTCCTTGGGACCCTTCTGGAGCAAAGCACCGTCACCCCGTTGCTGTGGGAGTGTGAGGCCGAGTGGGGTCTCGGGAGCTCCCTTCCTGGGGACCCTGTTCACACCTCACGACAGGACTCTGTTCTCGGCACAAGGTACACTTTATTTTTGCTCCTCAGCGCCCCCCCCAAGTCTGCTCTGTCCAGAGAGAACCAAGTCCAGGAAGGCCAAGAACCTTTCACAACTGCCCCCCCCTCAACGCTGCAATCTGGCATCTAGAGGAGAGTCGCCTCCTTCCTTCAGTGAGGCCATCGAGCCATGGACCTTCAACGCCTGTCCGTCTTCAGTTCCAAGGCCACCGGCATCACACCTTCCAGATTGCCACCGCCCCATCCTCTAGTTTCCAGTGGAACGTTTACCTAAAGCCAAAAGAAAGAGGGACGTCTGTGACCTTCACAAAGACGGTGGGCAGATCTAGCAAACCCCTCTCTCAATATCCAAGCCAGGACTACAGTGGCCCCATCCCCCAAAGTCACTTTTAAGGCTGTGGATTTGCCGCAATGTTTTGGGGAGGCTCACAAATGAAGAATTGAGGAATGTTTAACTAAATACAAGCTCTTCTGCAATGATACCAGGAGTCTTTAGTAGAATACCAAGGGATGGAAACCGCAGCTACTAATGCCCATTCCTCTGGCCCTTATTTTTCTGTTCAGCTGTTGCTCTAGGAGTGCTGGGAGCTCCTGGGAGTAAGATGAAGCAACCTGACGTGCAAGAAAAGACCCAACTGGGTCTCTGTCCAATCACCAGCAAGGAATGTGGCAGCTCCCGGAGGTTTTCCTACAGCTTCATCCTCCCTCCCTCCCCGGTTTCTGCAAACAGTGAACACAGAGACCTGCGCATGGAAAGATCACAAGAGGCTTCCTACCTCTGGTGCAGTTAATCAGAAGCTAAACATTTTCTTAAGTTTAGCTAGGAATCCCTCTGTGCCGTCCCCTGCCTCAGGCCTCTCCTCGCCTGCCCCTGTGCTAGTCGTGCCCCTGCCACCTAGACACAAATAGCAGACAGCTTGGTCAATACACGTTGTGAGAAGGGCCCCTGTCTGCCTCAGGCCATTTCCCAGTCTTGGGGGGGGGGGGGGGGAGGAGTTGAAGCTAAGAAGATGCCTCCCTTCCTCAGGCCATCTTGGTCCAGACCCAAGGAATGTTCAAATGACAGCTCCTGTTGTGCTATACGCGGTTGGTGACACTCCCTGCACACAGCAACCATTTTGGCTGCCTCCTCATTGCAGCTTTATTTATATCGCTTACCCTTTAGCCTCTCTATTCTTTTACCGACTGCAAAACTATAATCTCAACACAAGGTATGCATTCTAACACACGTCAGTGTCTTAAGAGAAACATCTGTATATTACAGCAAAGCACACACACGCATACGCACACACCGTCTCCCTGATGGACTTGCTAAACTGCTCTGAATGTCTCCTTGAGCAAACAACTCGGGCCCTGAATCCGTGGAAAGCCAAGAGTGCTCATGAAATGGAAATCAGCCAGTTGCATCTTGTGGGTCACTAGGAGGGTGGGGCAGGGAAGGCCAAAAGCTGCTTTCAATTGCGGGATTTGTTCCCTCTATTAAACCATCAGCCAGCCATGCTGCCAACTCATGCACTGCACTAAGTCAACTTCAGAATCAGTAGAATTGTGGAAGCCCAGAAAATTGAACAAAGCACAGATGAACTAACGGTGGGTAACCCTGTTAGGCAAACACAAGTAGTAGTAACCATTTCCTGCCTAAGGAAAAATGGTGACACCATCTGAGTAGAAGTTTGTAGTTCCACCGCGGTCGACATCACTCAAGGCCATAGTTTACACCACCAGAGCCAGCAGTTCAACTATAACCAAAGTGCAGCCAAGATCTGACAGCTCCACAGCCTCACCAGTATTTGTGCTGGCGATGCCATTCACAGTCCCTTCTACATCAGTTTCATCTTCTGCATAGCTCAGCATCAAGGCTCGCTGGCGATCAGTCAGCCTCCTGCAGGAGAGAGAAAGCAGGTGCAGTAAGACAGGAATGGAGGGCCCTGGAGGAAAGCCAGCCTCTCTGGGCACAGAGGTCTTGCAAAAGCAACAGACTGACACTTCCTCCTGCCTCAAAGTTCCCCTTTCATGCCATCAGTGACCTCTTCTATCCTGTTCCCCAAAATGCCCAGTCTTCCCACTTACTTGGGAACTTTGACCTTGATATGAATGTAGTGGTCTCCATAACCGTAGCTGTTCACCCTGGGAATTCCCTTCCCAGTCATCCGAATCCTCTGGTCAGCCTGGATGCCAGGGGGGATCTAGGAAAACACAGCAAAAAGATTAAAGCTTTTCAGTTTTTCACTCAATGCTCCTGAACTCTTACTGTGTCTCATAAATGTGAGAATCCGCTGCCGTTACCAAAGCACTCGTGGGAATGAAAGTTCTAAGATTTAACGCCCTGGGCTGTTCATAGAACATCACAGAAAATGTCCCTTTTCTTCTGAAGCAACATGAGGGCAACTGAAAATACCAGCAGAGCAGCAAATGACTACAACCGCTGCCAAACAGAAGCGCCAATACAAGACAGACAGAGCCTTTCCACAGGACAGACACACGGCTTTCCGTGCAAAAAGGGTAACATCCCCTTCATATTTTCGTGGGTCTCTAATCACAGGACAGATGAGCCATTTCGCTTGTTCTGCATTTGTGGCAGGGGACGTACCAGAAGGTTGATCGTCTCATACAGGCCGGGCGACCTCGCTGTCCCTCCAAGAACAGCTTGTGCTATGGAGATGAAGAGGTCGGAGTGGATATCAGCACCGTCTCTCCGGAACACGGGGCTTTTCTGAACCTGGAACCAGGGACAGTTCAAGGACTCAGCAAGTGCAGGCGGCCAGCCAGTTTTAAGCATGGCATGTCATGGCAAAACTGTAGGTCAGTACGCACCCTGAAGGTAATGAAAATTTCTTTCCTTCCAACAGGCATCCGAACGGTCTGCCCATCCTCCACACCTAAAGCCAAACAAAAGCACTCAGGATTACCTTTCATCCAGCGCCTCACTTTTTCTTCCCCTCTTGTGGCAACCCTGATTTGGAGGCTCGTGTTCTTACTGTTTAGAGCTGCAAGGACCAATTTCCCTCCCTGTTGTTTCACTTCAGAAGAGCAGCCGCTATTCTGCCCCAGGAGCACTCGGTACATACATACCTGCTGGGACTGGGACCATCATTGTCTTCTTCTGCTTGGTTTGGCCAGAGCCCCGACAAATCACACACGGGTTAGTTACAACTGAGCCCCGCCCACCACACCGCCGACATGTCGAACGCATGACGAACGGGCCTGTGTTGATTGTCTCCTGTCCAAAAGAATACACAAGGAAGGTGAGATGCCAGGAAATTTCACTTCTGTGTTGTAATGGCATCTCCGATGCCTGCTCAGATGATGAGGAGTTCTGCCAAAGTCTCCAAGCAGGGAGTGAAAGGGCTGCGGGCGGGGCAGGGGGAGACAACACCATCAGAGGAACAACCAGATCAGTGCCTGGCTGAAGTAGAAGGGAGAGCTGCGTTTGGAAGGTTCAGACGTGGGGGTGGAGAAGGAAAGCAACTGCCTGCTCTGCCAAATCCCAGAGCACGCAGGGATGAACGGAGGTTGGGGAGTCTACTTGCAAGGAGCAGCCTCACCTCTGCCAATGGCTACACTGGCTGGCAGCTACTTAGCTCATGTGAGCAGAGTGTTCCCTGCCATGGGTATGTTTTGTCTTTGTGACTCCTGCTTCCAGACCTTGCCTTGACTCTGTTACTGGGCTTTGGATCTTGGATTTCAGACTTGGGCTTTGATTTTGAGTATTGTGCTCAGACTACAGACTTGTACCTGAACATCAGACCTGGTGTGTGGACTTACAGATTTGGTCTTTGCCCTTGGACCTGAGGTTGTTTGGTGCTTGGACCCACTGGATTTTCTGTTTGTTTCCATGTGAGGTGAGCCCTGGGGAATATTAGGGGATCGTAAAGCCTTAATGAAGACTTCAGAACCTTTTGTGGTATGAGTGGAGCAGGAGATGTGTTGATGTAAATTGGACCCCAGTCAGCACATCATTATCAGGCTCCATAACCATCTGAAGCAAGGAACTGGCTTTCTTCTTCTAAAGCGTCAAGGTGCCCAGTCGTTCCCTGCACCAAAGCTTGCTCACACTGCCCTGCCCTTACTGTGCCAGTCCCGTTGCAGTAGGAGCAGTGCACTACTCTGGTGCCCGGTTCATGCCCTCTGCCATCACAGCGCTGGCAAGTGTCATTGATCTGCACCACGATCTCCTTGTTGACGCCCTTTGCCGCCTGGCTGAATGTCAGATCCATGATGTACTACAGAAGAGAGAGAAAATTCAGCGTTTGGAGCTCACAGTTCCAAGCCAACATTTTGCATACCATGTAGAACAAAAGGAAGCATACAAATCTGTCTAGATTGAGAAAAAGTACTACGGTGCCTAAGTAATATAAAATTAATTATATGTATGAGCAGCAGTAAGAGGGCTATTTTTGTGCAGTGATTAAGGCACCGAGCTAGACACTGGGTGATCGTAAGTTGCAGTCCTGCCTTAGGCACGGGAACAGGTGGTGACTTTCAACCAGCCCCTCTCTCTCAGCCCTAGGAAGAAGGCAAAGAAAATATTGCCAAGAAAACTGCAGGGACTAGTCCAGGCAATCACTAGAAGTCAACACTTTTGCTTTGTACCAAAGCAAACCAACCAACCAACCAACCAAAAAAGACCAACATAATACATATCAAATTTGCTAATCATAATGGATTAAAAATCAAATTTGTAACCTATTTCTTCACACTATTTTATTTTGGAAACCCATCTTTGTTAATAGATTTCTATATTGTTTCCCTCTTAAAATCTAAATATCAAAAAGGATAACTACTGAATTTGAATAAAAATAATGTTCAGTCTAGCCACGAATGTGGGCAAAATCATTGTTAAATGCACCTGATTCCCCCTTTAAAGACAGCAAAACCTCAATTTGAGTGATCACAGAGGAGTGAATTTATCTGCTAATTGTTGTGGTCTACGGGAGCCTGCGGAGCCTGCAGCAGAATCGGACAGTGGGGAAGAACAGGGACCAGTCCGGGAGTCTGGAAAGGACTCGGATGAGGGTCCTGCGTCCAATACAGAGATGGGGCCAGGGCCATCTGGGAGTTATGTGTTGACTCCGGAGCCTCCAGAATCTGACAGCAGCGAGGCAGAGGAACAAGGGGAGCCTGTTCCCAGTGCGCATGTGCACACAGCTGCCAGAAGGCAAGAGCAGCTAAGACAAAAGGGGGGGGGACTCAGGAGTAAGGCTTGGAGGTGATTGCCCCTCCCATAAGATATAAAGGCCGTGCAAAGGGACAGTAACCTTTGCAGGAAGCAATGTTGTTCACTCTGTTCGGATTAAACCTTGAAGCTCTGTGTGGACTTTGTACATTGGGCTTTTTACAGTTAATTTGGCACTTTAGTTGCTGGCAGCAATTCAAAGGAGATAAAGGTAGGTGCTTACCTCAAGAGATTGTTTGGGACTCATTATGGGCTGGGAATGAACATAATTCTCAGCATTTAAATAAAACGAGTTGTTTGGACTAAGCGTGTAGTTAATTACGGTCTCAAGAAGCCTTGGTCAGAACATTAATTCTGAATATCTGGTAGTTCCTAAAGATTAATCATTTGCATAGGATTTCTTATGCAGATGTTAAAACAGGAGGAGTGAAAGCCCCAAGGGACTCTACACACCAGTGGCTTGGAGTGCAATTCATCTTTACCTCCTGGGGCTGGTCAAAGACGGTGCTAAAATCGCCAAAAGGGGACTGTGAGAACTCCCCAAAGATCTTCCTGAACAGCTCCTCAGGGTCAATAGTTGGGCCAGTGTGCCTGTACTGCTGCCCAGAACCTGCCGAGCCAGAGCCAAAACCAAAGTCTGCTGTACCATAAGTGTCATACTGCTTCCGCTTTACTTCATCTCCCAGGACCTGCCAATGATACAAGAGCTCAGTCATCCAGGGGGCACTGCTGTGGGAGCCCCAGTTCCCAAGCCGTGGAATGTAAAAGGGAGAATAAAGCATGCTACCTCATAGGCCTCAGCCAGTTGAGAAAACTTCTCTTTTGCTTTAGGGTCATCCTTATTGGTGTCAGGATGATACTTCTTCGCAAGCTAAGTAAAGAAACAAAAAAGGCAAAAGTAAAAAGTAGTGGGCAAGAGATTACCATTCCTGTCTTTGTGTGTTGGGAATTCATGCAATGAATTTTAAATCAGCGATATTGAACTAGTAAAATAGTTTTTATCTTCTGGGGTATTTTTCCCTACATAGTATTTTAGATAGGAAAAAAACCCTATTTCATTTGTACCAAGATCATAATCACATATACTGAGCACCATGTATTTGTAGCGCAGTTTAGAATCCTCAGAAATAATGGATTTGAAAAAGCTGAATTAAACAAAAGCAACAGGGTAAATCTCAGTGACCTTCATCAGGAATAGTAGCCAAAGAAGACAACAGCAGTCTTGCTGGATCAGATACAGCTCTTCATATTCCAGCAATTAGCCCATAAGTACTGGTAGCTAGTGAAGTGTAAGGTCAGCCCCTCCTTTCCTTGGGTTCTCCAGCAAACACTTAGAAATCGGCCTGGGAATGTTAGAAGAATCCAATATCGCAGAATGAATTCCCCAAGCAGGATGGGGAGGCTGCTGTTTACCGCTGCTTTGCTTTTGTGTATGAGAGTAAACAGAAATATAAAGTAAACCAGCAGCCTTTAAGCAATTACGACCCCAAATGATAGAGGCAGGGTGGAGAAGGCACCCCACACAATGCCAGCGCTAAAGCTGGGGAGGAAAAAGACTAGCATGCAAGCGGGTTAGGCCAGGGCTTCACCGGCCAGTCCTCCAATCCAGCCAGTGCTACTTGCCCCCTTATGGTCCGACAACCACCCCCCCCCACGCCCTGCATCCCCTCCGAGAAGCGGCCGTGCCTGGTAATAGGCCTTCTTGATCTCCTTCTGGCTGGCGCAGTGGGGCACTCCCAGGATCTGGTAATAATCCTCTTTGCTGTTGCTGGAGGAGCTGGTGTGAATCGAGGCCGCCCAGACGGGAGGAAGCGGTCGGAGTCCTGCGCAAAGCGAAGCAGAAGGTCAAGCCGGCTGCCGGCGTCGAGGGAAGGGCGGAGGCGCAGAGGACCCCCCGCCGGCTCCATTTCTGCGGGCAGGAGGCCCGCGCGCGGCCAGGGCCGAGGATAATGGGCCGACCCCTCCGGAGGCCTCTCGAGACCGGCGACGGGAGGGGGCAGCGCTCCGCTCGTCCTTAGAGACACGTTTGTCGTTCCTCTTACCGAAGCGGTTTCCCATCCGCGGCGCCAGAGTCGCGCGAGAGGCGACGGGGGCCACGCTCCGCCAGCGGGCCAGAGTCAACACCAGCGCCAGGCGCCGCGGCTCCCCGCCGCCAGCCCGACAGCTCCCGGCAGCGGTTGCCACCTCCGCCAGCCAGCGTGAGACGCACCCGGCCGCCATCTTGCGTTACTCAGTCGCAGTGCGCCTGCGCTCCTCAGCCCGGTAAGCCGGGAGTCCGAGTACGCAAGCGCGCAGTCCCGTGGTAGGGGGAGGGCGCAGCCGACCTTTCTCAGAGGTCAACCCCGCCGACGCGAAGTTCGGGCTGCTCCTGGGCCCTAGTGCCCCTCTTCTCACTTCTCGGTCAAGGCGCGGAGATGGGTTTTGCACCTCCGGAGCGACCGTGTGGACGTGGGTGCGCTCTGAACTCCGGCTCTGCGCCGCTGCTTGCGCATCCCCGAGCGGGGCTCCTGCGAAGCGGAGCTGGGCACTACCTGGTGGGCCCGGGGTCGCGGGAGCCCAGGACGAGACCACCCGTCGGTCGGCGTCCTTCAGAGATGGGGTGTGTGGAAAGCCCCCGGAGAAGGGCTGGGTGGACGGAGGAGACCAGGCGCGGCCCCTCGGTTGGAGAGAGTGGGAGCGCCGCCGGTCCAAGCGGAGGGCATATCCGAGACAGGGGCCGCGCGAACCCGGGAGAGCCACGAGCCTCCCTGCCGGAGAGGGGCGAATCCCGCTTTTCGAGCTCGATGCTAATAGGGGAAGGGAGTTCTAGTGGGGAAGGGGCCCCGTTGGAAGAGCCGAAGGGCCGGCAGGGGACGGAGCGCCCGTGTGGTAGACAGGAGGCGACCGCGGCCAGGTGGCCCGGGGAAACTCACGTCCGGTGGCCCCTGCTGGGCTCCAAGGCGCCCAAGTTCACACAGAGCCCCGGAGCCCTCCGGCCACTGGTCTCTCCGGGGCCGCTGAAGTAGCCGGCTGAGAGCCAATTCGAGAGTCCCTGGGCCCGCCCGCCGTCAGCTGAAGGCTGCTCTGGAGGGAGACCCCACCAGAAGGGGCAGCGGCTCTGGGGAAGGCGTCGGAGGGAGCGGGACGCGGCGCGGCAGGAAGAGGCGAAGAGGAAGAAAAGCGGCGATGCGGGGTTCCTCAGAAGCCTGGCGGGCGGTGCGCTTGGCCGGTGCGGAGCTGCCGGAGGAGCCCCCTGCGGGCGTGGCGCCTGAAGACAGGAGGTCCCCACGGGCGCTCGGCGGGATTCTCCCCGCCCGGAGCCCGCCCAGCTGCTCGCCAATAAAGCGCTACTTCGGCCTGGCTTCTAGGTCGCGGGCGCCGCCTGAAGGGCTTCGCGGAGCGCGCCGTTGCTCAGCCTGGCGCGGGTGGCCCCGCCCCCTGGAGAATTCGGGGCCCGCGTGGGCGGGGCTGTGGGCGGGGCCTCCGTGGAATCCGACCCCAGGCTGGACGGCGGCGGCGGTGGCAGCATGAGCAGGTTCAGGGTGTCCAAGTTCCGGCACGCCGAGGCCAAAGTGGCCCGCAAAGAGGTGGGTGGGCGTCGTCGTCGTCGTGAGTCGTACTTGCCGCCAAAACGTCTCCTTGGTGAACCGCCGCACCCACCTGCCGGGGCGCGGACGGCGGCTCGATGGACGCGCCGGTTCTTTGCTCGCTCCCCCGCCCGATCGGGTGGGTTCGGCGGTTCCCCGATGGGCGCGGGAGGAAGCGACCGGCTCAGCCCTCGGCCTGTGTCAGCGATCCCACCGAAGAGGGACGCCGGCGCTTCCGGAGGTGCCGCCCGATTGCAGGGCTGAGCAACGCGTGGGCGCCTTCCGAGACACGGCCGAGCCCTTTCTAGGGGAGCAGCGGCCAGGGCCGCTCCCGGCTGCTTCTTGGCCTCGGGGCAGCCGAGGCTGAGACAAGCCGAAGGGAAGTTGCCGGGACTGCATACGGGAAAGCCTCGCCCTGCAAATTTAGTCCGGTCGGGGGGGCGAGCAAGGCGGTTTCCCCGCCAGCCCCTCGCTGCTCAGGGGCCGGCTGGCCTGGGGCGGCATCCCCGGCGCGAATTGGGCTGGGCTAGGGCCGCCCGGCAGGTGTCTTTCCGCCTTCGCAGCAGCCAGAAACGGGAGGCTGAGCAAGAGCGGGGCCTGCGCCGAGCATCGTCTGCTTGCGAAGCCCGATCCCCCGACCGTAGCCCGGGCAGCCCCTGGCTAGGGAAGGCTGGCTGACGCTCTTGGCGGCGGCGGCGGCGGAGAAAGCTTCGGAAGAGCCTCTTGCAGCAGAGCCGCCTCGCTGCTGAAGCTTCCGGCTGGAGAGGAAATGCGAGAAGCGCTCTTTCTGCAACAATTCCGCTGTATGATTTGTTCTCGGGGCGCAGCAGGCCCGGCTTCCGTTTCCCAGCAGGAGGGGCCGCCTGGGACAGCGAGCACTTGAGCTTCCTTCCCTACGGTTCTGCCAGGCCCGGCCGGCGCGCAAGCACGGGACCTCCTGGGATTTGCTGGCCTGGCCGTTTTCCCTGCCATGCCAACTGGGAACCAGTCTGGGCCTCCCTGGGAAGCTGCTTCAGCCGAGTTCAGGGAAACGCTGAGGGAGGCGGGGGTGGGGGGGAGCTGAATTGGGCAGCCTTGTGCAGTGAAATAAAATCTTGGTTTGGGGTGGGGGATTCGAAAAAAGAATGGGGGAGCACACCTCAGGTAAGAGGCCTCATAAGAGGCCCAGCCAGCCAGAGGGAGGACTCTGCGGTTGGACCCTGGAATCCAGGGAAGCGACTGCAGTTTGCCAAGGAGGCTTTTCTGGTTCCTCCTTTCTGGATGGTTTGGCCAAAGCGTCCGGAAGCGCCTTCTCCCTGTCCTTGGCCATGCCCCAGTCACCTCTGCTGCTTTAGTCCCTGCTGGAGAGAAAGCTGCCCTTTGCTCAGGGCCAGATGTCCCCCACTGCCTCCTGGTCCTTGACCCACTTGTGGAACAGTGTGGGAGGCACTTCCTCTCCGCCGCCCCAGCTTGCTCTCCTCTCTGCGCAACAGGCCTGGATTGGAGATCTACAAAGCAGCTGCCCTTCAGGGAAGCCCCACATCAAGGCCAACACCCGCTGGATCGCATTCAGCACAGACTTGGCAGGTAAGACCCAGCCCAGCTCCTGCCCTTGCACTTTGACCTGGCAAGGAGTTTGCAAACATCTTCTGGGTGTGTCCCTGCTGAGGGTAGTGGGCTCCCTTTCAACTGGCCCCAGCCCAGGAGGAGTTTTCTTTCCCTTCTGCCCTTCCTTGCTTGTCTCCTGGTGATTGGCACTCAGAGGGGAAGAATCAGAACAGGGGCCCATTAGGACTGGCTTCACTTGGGTGGGGGCCAGGAACTTGGTGCCTCCCTGCTGTATAGTGACCACCTTGAGCCAGGTCTGGCCAGAAGCCAAGATTTCTGAAACTGACCCCTACTGATAGCTGTCCAGCCTCAGGGCAGCTCTTGAGGGGAAGGCAGACCAGGGACACATTTCCTTCTGGCTGGCAGGTGGGCTGCTTGGGGCTGGCTTCATGATTTTTCCCCTGTTTTTGCCAGGTGTGTTGGGTGCTGTGCCCCTGGAGAGCCCAAAGGGGATCAAGAGGGTTATTTCTCATCTGCACTGCCATTCAGGTGAGCTGGAGAAGCTGCAGGGGTGGCCTTTGGGGAAAATGGGCTGGTCTCCCATGCAGAGAAAGGAAAAGCGTGCTGCTTGGGTGAGAAAAAGACTATATACAGGAAGGGAGAAGCAGGCTCTCTGCTTTCGGTTCTGCTGGCCAGTTGCTTAAAACAAGCTGCATTCGCTCTCTTGTGCAACTGCCGAAAGGAAGGGTGTCACATGACTCTTCACACACACACACACACACACAGAGAGAGAGAGAGAGAGAGAGAGAGAGAGAGAGACTTGTCCTACTCTGAGACAGACCCTAAGTCAGCAGCAATCCAGCCCCTGCCACACTGGGTCTCATTTGATGGGCTTGCTTGTAGATGAGGGTGGGAGTTTCACATTTAACCTGATGTGTAGGCATCATAGAAGCAGAAGCCAGCCTGCCCGTGACTTTCTCAGACATCCACATGGGGCAGGGCGGACCCCCGTTCTGCTCTATGCTCAGCCAGAGGGCATGTCAGGCACTTTGTACCCCCAGCTCCAAGGGCCCAGGACTGCCCAGTGGAAGCCATAATCTGGACAGAGGCTGTTATCCAACAGCTGCACTGCCTGCCTACCTGTCTCGGAGGATGAAGCCCCTGGTCTCGGAAGCCTCGCTAGGCCAGCCCACAGTGGGAAGCTGCTGCTCTCCTTCCTGGCCGAGGCACTTTGCCCTGGTGGCTCTATGATCCAAAATCTGCAGCTGGAGGGGGGGAAGCAGGAGAAGCCCCTGGGTGGCACTGCTCGCTCCCACCCCCTTGGAACTGAGGAAATGATGCCTCAAAGCACTTAGTTCGGCCCACAGGCCCACATGTGAAAGCAAAGGGCAGGGGGCTAAATCATCCCACACATGGGGAACCCGAGCAGAAAGGGGAGTTGCTGGATTGTGGGTGCCCATAGCACGATGGGCAAGTGTGCAGATGGGCAGGGAACTTGGCTGTGCCTTTTCGATTGCAATTGTCAGAGATTCCAGAAATGGAAAATGGCAGAGTGAACCAAATAATAGCAGGATCAGACCTTCCTCTGCCCAAGCCCCCCAGACAAAGGTAATTTCATCCTGCTGGGTGGAATAGAGTGGGTGATTTGGTGTCAGACTGAATGGACGCTGGGGGGGGGGCACTGGCTGGGAGAAGCTGTGCCCCTTTGCTTGGGGTGAATAAAGAGTCCTCGGGAGATCCCCCTCTTCAAGCCCAATTGGCTCTGCGCTGCAGTAGAATGGCACCACATCTGGCACCTCTGCAAAGACCACAGGCCCCCTCAGTCCAGGCCCAAGCCCAGAAGGCCCAGCCAGGAACCAAGGGCAGGCTCTGCGGTGACCCTTTGGCTGCAGAAGCGAGAAGAGAATCGCCATGTCTGCCACCCTCCAGTTCCGATCCTCCCCGTCCCATCCGATGCTGGGAGGCAATTCCTCAGGGAGAGAAGCAGCCCTGGGACTGCCGTGGGCGCCCACAGCCTTGGCTGCCTGCTTCTCTTGTGCTGCCCTTCCCTTTCCTCTCCTCTCCTCTCAGATGTGGTGACCGACTTTGACTTCTCTCCCTTTGACCAGCAGCTGTTGGCCACCGGATCGGCAGATGAAGTCGTAAGTGCAGCCTAGCTTCTCCCCAAGGTCGCTCTCCCTGCACGGGCGGCTCCTGGGAGAACTGGGGGCCGAGGGAAATTAGCTGAGAGCTTTCCCCTCGCCCTCAGCCCTGCCTGCCCCTGAGGGAGCCTGGCATCCTCTGAGCACTGCCAGCGGTCTCTTTTCTGCAGGTGAAGGTGTGGCGTCTCCTGGAGTCTGGCCAAGACCTCTCATCTTCCCCCCATGTGACGCTGGGGCCAGAGGGGAGCCGGGTGGAGGTGCTTCTCTTTCACCCCACGGCGGATGGTGTCCTGGCCAGTGCGGCTGGGAAGGCAGTGAAGATTTGGGATGTAGAGCAGCAGCAGATCCTTACTGGTACGATCCTAAGTGGGCGCCCTTTGATTGCCCTCAGGGTGGGCTGGAAGATGCCCATTGGCCCCCGGGGAAAGTGGAGCAGCCGTCACCCAGGCCAGCCCCTTCTGCCCTGGGCTTTCATCGTGCTGCCCAACGCTCTACCAGCCTGGAGCTCTTCCCTTCGCCCACTCAAGCCTGGCCAGGCTCCCCCTGGGCTGTGGTCCTCCCAGAGAACCCGACCGATTTCTGTGGAAGCAGAGCTGAGGGACTCCCTTCCTGGAATGGGCTGGCCTCTTGGGCCGCTGCCCACATGGGTAGATTTTGGGGGAAGGGGGCCAGATAGAGGGGGGGAAGGCAAGGCTCCAGTCAGGAAGACTGGCCGTGGCAATCCCAGCAAGAGGAGAAGCCCAGAGAGCCCGTTGCCAAGCAACCTCATGGGCCCTGCACAGGCGCTGCCACTCCGATTCCAGAAGGCAGAAAGAGATGAGGGCATTTTCCAGGCTGAGGACAGGAAGGGCTTTGTTGCCAAGGATTGTGCTCCTCCTAGGAACAGCAGTGTGTGTGTGGGGGGGGGGGGGACACCTTGGAATTGCTCAGCTGCTGCCTTGCAGAGAAGGGGGCTGCTGCAGCTGGAGGGGTTGCAGCTCTCCACATGTTCACCTTTGAACCGGTTGTTCAGGGGTCCCTGCAGCAGCCCCTGCCCCAGGGACGGGAGCCAGCCCTGCAGGTGAAGCCCGACCTGATGTGGAAGTGGGAAGGAGGGGCAGCAGGCGGAAAAGCTCTGGGTCAGAGGGAGACAACCCAGAGGCCACTGAGCAGTACTTCAGCCACTCAGTTGTCTCCGTGCAAAGTGTGTGTGTGTGGGGGGGGGGGTGTCCCTTTGGTATGTTGTGCAAGTCGTGCCACTTGTCGGTAAATCAAGATTCACAATTGTGGTTTGGAGGGATCCAGGCTGGAGGGATCGGCCTCCCATCCAGTGGGGGAGGCTGCCTCTCAGCCGCTCTGCCCCGTTAGGCAGCCCTCACTGGCCTGAGCTGGGGAGCCCTCCTCGTGATCTGGGTGTCCAAGCAGGGTGCTGGAGGGCACAGCACCAGGCCCGTTTCGTTCTTCTCTTCAGAGCTGGAGCCTCACCTGAACTGGGTGCAGAGTTTGGCCTGGAAGCCGGACGGATCCCTCCTGGCCACTTCTTGCCGGGTGAGTGCAGAGGCCAGGGCCAAAACAAGGAGCTGGCTCTTGAGTGCCGGTGGACACCAGGGGGCGCCGTGCTCCATGCTGTGGTGTGGGCACCCTGGCAATGAGCAGCCGCTTGCCCTTGGCTGCCATCTAGTGGCACCTCCAGAGGGGTTCTGTTGCCTGGTGCATGTTGGGGGAGGCCCTGGGGGCGCCTGCTTGGGAAGGAACATACTTGCATCCCCCAAGGAGAGTAGCATCTCCCTGGGGACCCCCAGGCCCATTCCAAACCAGGAAGGGGCAGGGCCGCAAAGAGAAGGTGCACCCCTGGGGGACCTGGTCTGGCCTCAGTCAGGTGGCTGTGACAATCTGGGGCACCCCCCCACCATGGGCAGGCCAGAAGTGGACGCTTCCCCCAAAGCCAGAGCATCAGCAGGCACTGGCACAGCTGCCTGACACCCACCCCCCCCCCCCCCGCCCCGTCCTACTGGCAGCCTCAGCATAGGGGATTAGGTTCCCTCCCCACATTTTCTGGCCTGGCTGACTGTGCCCAGGGTTGGGAGGGGGGTTGTGGGGCTGGGCAGAGCAGGAGCTGAGCTGATGACCTCTGGGCCTCCCTTTGCTCTGCAGGACAAAAGGCTGCACATCTTTGACCCACGGGCCAAGTCGGTGGCCTGCCAGGTAGAGTATCTGGGGGGGGGGGGGGGGGGTTGCCAGGGGGGGGAGGATCCATCTGGAGCAAACTCCACACAGCTGACCCCATCCAGTCCCATCTAACGCACAGACGCCACACCCCGGGATAATTCTCAGGAGGAGGCAGGAGGGGCGGTCTGGGAAGCAGCTCCAGGGGCAAATGGTGCCGAGGGGAAGCCGTCCTCCAAGTCCGGGCTCAGCTCCCTGGGTGTAAGAGGAAGGCGAGGGGACTGCTGCTGCCCAGGGTTCGGAGCTGAGGCCGGGCTGCGGTCCCCTTTGTAGCCTTCCAGGCAGACTCTCCCCGGTTCTTGATTGGCTTCCCAGGAATGAGCCAGCCTGCATTCGGGGGCCCTATTTACAGCGCCACCCTGTGGCTTGCACTCTGCGCTGGGCCAGAGACTCCCCTCCTGGTGCATCTCCCCCCCCCCCACCATTGCACATCTGGGAGAATGGTGCAGGGGCAGAGAAGCCACGGCAGAGGAGGTGGTTGGAGCTCTGCTCCGCTTGGGGGTCATTGCAACCTCCCCTCAAGGGCCATTCTGTAAGCAGGGCTACTGTGGCAAGGGCCCCAGGCAAGGAGGGGTCCTTGGGGGCTCTCTAGCAAAGAGGCACGGGAGTATCTTGAGCCATGGCCTGGATCTGAGCTGGGGCTGCAGGCTGCCTGGGGGGGCAGACTCCCCTGAGTTAGCCAAAGCAGGGAAGGGGGGGGGTGTGCTGAAGTCAGAGGAAGCCGTGGCTGGCCAGAAGACGTTGCTGGCCTGGCCGGGAGTCAAACCGCTGAGCTCCACACCGGCTGTGAGTTGATGATCTTCTTTGAGGAGGCAAGTGGGGGGGCTGCTCCCCCTCCTCTCCATGTAGTGCTGACGTGGCTGTCTTCCTTTTGTCTGGAAGTTGCCCCTTCTCGCCTGTTTCCCCACAAAGTGGAGGGACTCATCACATGCGTCATCTCTCCTGTCAGTCTCAAGAGCTTTCCTGAGGGATGGTTCATGCAGGAGAGGGGGGGGGCGTGGAAGAGGGCCAAGAAGGGGGTGGGGAGCCTCTGCTCCTTCCAAGCAGCGGAATGTCTGTTTCCTCCCTCCTGCTTTGCTCTGTGGCTGAGGGCGGTGGGAGAGATGGGGAGAGCCTGCCTGCTTGTTCTCCCTCGGTAGGAGGGCCTGATGTGGCTGGATCAGACCCTGGGCTTTGTGCCCCCTTAGCAGCAGCCTTTCAATCCTCCAGCCTCTGCCCCTCCCAGTGCAGCCTGCGTGGGTCTCTCTCCAAGGTCTGTCCCCCAGTGAATGGGGCCAAAACCTTCACTCCACTAACTTTAGCCAGGAAGAACAGGGGCTGGGAAGGAGGGTGTTGGAGAGCACAGCCCGGATGATGGTCCCTGCAGCTGGGAGAGAAGAGGCCCTTATCAGGTGTTGGCACCCCAAAGGGCTCTGCCGGTATCCGCTGTGCCCGCCTGGCCCCTCCTGGTCCTGGAGAGGGCAGCTGAATCGCTGCTCTTGCCTCCTGTGTGCAGTTTGCCCCCCAAACCTCCCAACTCCCCGCAGAGCAACCCACAAAACCCCTATGGGCTTTAAAAGCAGCACACACCCCCCCCGGGCATTGCAGTCCTTAATCTGGCCAGAACCTGCTCGACCCTCCAACCATCTGAGGAGAGGCCAAGGGCTGTCTCCCCCACAGGGCAGTGCAAATGAAGGGGGTTCCCTGCAACCCTCTTGTCTCCCGGCAGCATTAAGGAGAGCCAGGTGGGACCCCTCTGCAACTTCTTTGGGCTGGGAGCACCAGAGCTGCCCCTCCAGTTGCCCAAGGCCTTCTCAGCCACTAAGAGTTGCAGCCGACCCCTGGGGGAGGGAAGCACTGCCCCCAGTTCATTTCACACAGAATCTGCCCAAGATCCAGCAATCTGGAAGAGCTGCAACACAATGCCAGCTCAAGGATTCAGGAGCCTTTGGGGCACTGCCCTAAACTGGTGCCCTCCCTGAGTCCAGACTGGTTGGAGGCAGCGATTTGAAGGGACTCATGGGAGGGAAGGAGGAGTGGGGGTTGTCCCATTCCAAGGGTCTCCTGCCTCTCCTCACTCCAGATGGGGAAGGCAGCCCCTCTCCAGCCCTCCTCCTCCTTCCCCCCAGACTGCCCTGGCACATAACGGGGGCAGGGAGGCCCGGCTCCTGTGGGTGAATGCGGAAGGCTGCTTCCTCTCCGTGGGCTCCAACCAGGTAGGGATTCCGTCTAACTCTCCGGCGGGGCTGGGAGGCTCGGGCGGGGGGGGAGGGGTGGAAATCCTGACAGGCTGCTGGGAGCACTTGCTGTGCGCCCTCCGCAGACGCCTCTTTGGCACAGCCTGCCAGGGCTTGGGTCCTTCCGAGGCAGCCCCTCAGCCTCCGCTCCCTTCCAGGTGATGGAACGGGAAGTTTGCCTCTGGGACAGCCGCCGGTTGAGCAGCTCCCTGACCTCCGTCACACTGGATGCCTCTCCCAGGTAAGGGACTCCCAGCGTTAGGGGGTGCAGAGGGGGTAGAGTGGCAGGGGTGGGCCAGACTGGCGTTCCTCCGGATTGGCCCAGAGGTCGCTGGGCACGGTGGAAGGCCCCAGGGCTGCGGCCACTGCACCCCACCCCATGCCACCTGGCCCCACCTGCATGGATTGGCCCCTGCACACGCAGCTCCTCTAAAGGAAGGGTTGCAGGGAGGCTCTCGCTTGAAGCAGGCTTGGGCCCACCGGCTCTGACAGGAGGGGGGAAGAGGCGGAGAAACATTCGGTGGACATTGCATCGGCCACCCCTCAAACAGCCCCTCCGGGTGACCCAATGGGCCTCTTCGATGGGTCTTGAAGTGGCTTGATCAGGGCACACCAGTCCCTCGTGGGGGTGGGGGTGACACCCTCGTGGCACTCAGGCAGGGGAGGCATGGCTTCCTGGTAGGCTCCGGTTTCCCCCTCTGGTCCAAGGGGTCAAGTGATGCCAGGTTGCTGACTTGTTTGGGCTACCACTGATAACTCGCGCAAGGAAGGTGTGGGGCTGGTTGGTGCCGCTTGTCTGCCTTGCAAGGCTGCCGTCTTGTTGCCATCAAGCTGATGACCGAGGGAAACGAGGGGCTGATTCTGACCGGGGGGGTGTGGAGGGCTGTACGTGGGAAGGAAGCAGCTCCTTCCCAGCAATGGGGCTGTTTCTGGAAGGCTACTTAGCTGGGCTCCCTTCTCGCCCCTCTGGAAAAAGAGGGATGGTTGGGCCTGGCTTCTCTCGGGCTGTCTCCCCATGGGGAATTGCTCTGGGCTCCTCTTTTGACAACTTCTTCACTGCTTGGCTACAGAGAGGAGTTGGTGGCTAAGGAAAAGCAGCTGCAGTGAGCCCCCCCCCCCCGTGGCAGGGGCTGCTGTGCCCTCAGACCTTCAGCGCCAGCGCCCCGCTGTCCGGTTCCCAGGGCAACTCTGGGAATGGAGGAAGCTTCAGCAAAGGGCACATTAGCTCAGCAGGGGGCAGCAGGTCCCGTTGCTCAGGAGATGTGGGAACGCGGTACAGGTAATGCCACGGCTTAGTACAGCCCTGGCCCCCTCCCAGGAAGGGCTGGCGGGCACGTCAGAGCAGCCTGCCCCCTGAAGCAGGGGGGCTTTGGTCCAGCCGTGGCTCCCCCATGCCTGCCCTGCCGCCTCCCACAAGAAAGCCTGCTTGCCAGGCTACCCATCTAGCCTGGTGGAGCTGCTCCCAGCCACCCTCCCTTCAAGGTTGTGAGGAGGAGGGCCTGTGTTCTGACAGCATTGAGGTGGGTGGACAAACTTCAGGGCTGGGGGTCTTGGGCTGGAGCCCCCTCCTCCTCCCAGCCTGCCACATCCCACAGATCTGGCCCTGCCTGGAGAGGCTATGCTGGAGCTGAGCCTCATCTGACTGGGGGACTGCAGCTGGCAACTCCCCTAGGAAGGTCATCGCCAACGTGGATGTCTCGGCAGGCCCCGTGACCAGGCCACCCTGAAGGGACTCTGCCCACTTCCCTCAGAAGGGTCCAGGAAAGAGGAGCTGGCACCCCGCTTCGGCCAGGCCGGGTCCCTGCCCTGTGGCTACAGCCGGCAACATTTCCAGGGGGCACCTGATATTTTTGCCATCCCCAAGGACTTTGAGGGGCTTGCAGAAGCCTCTGCTGCCAGGAAGGGCCCTACCCTGTCCTTGGAGGCTGCGGAGTCAGCCCTTTTCTCTCCCTGGGTGACTCAAGCGGCTGGCGAGCTCTGAGCTCCCTGCCTTCCAAGCCCGGAGGAGCTGGCCAGGACTCCCGGGTGGGACTGGCTTGGCTTGGCTACAGGGCTGCTGCCTGCCTCCCCCACCCCATTTCTCCTCTCCCTGCGGTTGGAAAATCCACGTGGCTTATAAGGAAAATATTTGCTCAACAGCCCTTTTTGCAGGAATCTGTGATGTTAATTTGAACAGTCTGCTGGGGATGACAAAGGGCCCATTCAGTGGGTCAGCTGGTTCCTGTGGGGACCTTCCCGCTTTCCAGCCCTGGGGCCAGCAACTCCCGGGGGCCCTCTGGCTTCCCTGACCCCTGGGGCCTGTCCAGCAGCTTCCCGGCCCGGAGGGCAGGCCAGCTTTGGTGCAGCCTGCCCCCTTTCCTGAATTAGATACCCTCTGGCCCATCATTGCTGGCATGAGGCTGGGTAGGGCTGGGAGCCTTGTCATGCCAACAAGCAGATGGTTGAACTCTGGGAAAACCTTGGTCAGCGGATCAGGCCCGCCTGGCGCTCTCTAAACAGGGCTGCAGCGATGATGCTTCTGGCCTCGGAGCCTTTCCCTTGGCCACTGCAGTCTGCAGCAGCCACCTGCCCAGGAGGGAGTTGCTTTCTTTCCCTTTTACCACTGGTGTTGTGAGGTTGCGCCTTGCTAGATCTGCGCAGGTGGCCTTGCCCAGGTGTTCCTGGTGCAGTTGAGAGACCATCTTGGAGGTGGAGAGTGCAGACCAGCTCCCACCTCTCCAGGACCCCTGCAGGGAGCTCATTAGAGCAGCGGGGCCTTCTCCTCCTGGGCTCCATGCGGGAGGGTCTGCTTGCCTGGGCTTCAAGGGTCAGTCTGCCCGATGAGCAGAGGGGCTTCAACTGTTCCCTCCTCCAGAGGCTCTTCTGATACGACCAGCCAGCAGCATCCCTTGAGCAGCTCCCTGGAGAATCCACCTGGAGTGCAGGGGAGGGGGGTGGACTCTGAGTCAGGCCAAGCTGTGCAGGCGCCCTGAGGGGGGGGGGGGCTTGGGGGGGCGAAGCGGGGGGGGCGGCAGAGGGGAAAGGGGGGGGGGCCTTATTTTGGCTGTGCTGCTCACAGCCCGGGTTCCCAGCAGAAGAGCCATTTGTGAACGAGCCCTGGTTTATCAATTGAACCCAACTGGGTACATCCCTTGGAGCTCCAAACCAGCAACCACGATTTAGCCAGTTTGGGTCTGGCCGTTGGCTGACATTCAGCTGTCCCGTCTCCTGCAGCCTTGAGGAGAGAGAGCTGTGTTGCAGCATTCCAGGCAGATCCCCTAATGCGACCCACGTGGTACCTCTCTGATCCAGCAGCCGCAGCCGCAGGCTTGGGAGGTGGGAGACGCTGGCTGGACCCAAGGTCGGCCAGGCAGAGCAGCTGTGTAAACACCGCTCAGCTTGGCCGGAGCACAACTCTGGCTGATGCTGCCAAAGGGCGGGGGAGGCCATAGCAGCCCTGACAGGCTGGAGTTGGGGTGGTGGTGAGGGGGGGCTGCTTTAAGAGGTGGCTTCTCCCCCTCTAGGCCTGGGCATCCTCTGCCCGTGCCTTGGCCTGCTCCGGGGGCATTTTCTCCCTGGTGCCTGTCCAGCGGAAGGGCTTCAGCCAGGCCTGCAGTCAGGTGGCCCCTCACTCTTCTTCGGACAGAGGCCTCCCCCTTGCCTGGGTCCAAAGCACCACGTGACTCTGCCTGCCGGGCTCCATGTAGTGAGCAGCGGCTGAGCAAAGGGCAGCACGGAGGCTGCATCTAATTTTCAGCCCACTTTTGGTGGGCTGAATGAGATTCCTCGACTCTGGTGTGGATCCGTTCCTGTGGACACAGCTGGTGGCCCTACTCTGCCAGCCATGGAGATATGCAAGGCTGGATCAGGCCCAGTGACATGCCCCCCCCCTCCTCCTGGCTTAATGCATTCTGTGTATCCAACCATGTGTCTCGCCTGATCTACCCAAAAGAACCTGCTTCTAAGGACAGGGAAGGGCCAGCAGAGGCCCCAGAGGCCTAATGGGCCTGCCCAGCCTGGGGTGTAACTGACTTCCTGGTGCCTCTTTCCAGCTACTTGGGAAAGGCATGGGGGGGGGGGGCTCTTGTAAAGACCCTGTGCTGTGGAAGTCCTTTGGCCCCCAGGGCTGCAGCTCAAAGGCTGGCATTGCAAGCAGGTGGCGTTTTGTGTGGAGGAGGGGGCAGCTAGGCTCAAAAGGGACAGGGTCAGTACGAGGGTGTCTTCCACAGTCTGCTCCTTCCGTATTCTCCGTCTGCAGTAAGAATTGGACGCCGCGTGTTTGCATTGTGCACCTTTTCTGCAAGGGCAGCCTGTCAACAAGGCTCTCTTGCTCACACTCATATTTTTATACAAAAGCATTTGTAACCTGCACAATCTGCACAAAACTTATTTTTGTAGAAAAACATTTATCATCTGGTTTTACAAAACAGATCAGTCCGCTAGGAAAGTTACTGCCCGGAAGGAAGGGGACCAGGCAGTGACAACTAAGTGTTCAGTGTTGGGCCCTTGGGGGCTGCTGGAGCGTGGTCTCCTCCTCGATTAATGGAAGAGGCTCTGCTCCTTCATGGAGTTGTTTTTACAGCTCCCCCCATAGTTCTGTAGGGCTGGGGCTGCCCTCGGCAGAGGACTCGGGGGCTGGCACATGGGGTCCCCTTGCTGTGGGAGGTGGCCTCTCTCTGTGCCACTCTCTGGCCTCTCCCTGGGCACTGCCCAGACGGTCACCAAGGAAGCCACCCACATCCTGCTTTGCCTGAGTGCCCCTAAAAGTAGGAAGGTCCCAGGGCCCGAGGGGGGGCTGTGCCTGTGAAATGGGGTTGCATGAGAGGCACCTCATATTCCAGGCTGAGGGGCGCCGCAGTCTTGGGACTCTGCTCACTGCTCATCGCTACGCCCTCCAGCTCCAATGGGCTGGGGCTGGGGGTCCCGGGGGCAGCCTGGCCCTTCCTCTGCTGCCTGCGCTGTCGCGCATAGCAGGAGCTGGCAACCGCCAGCCCCAGCAGGAGCAGCACAGCTGCCACAGAAGGCGCCACCACCAGAGGCAGGTCGGGGCCTTTGCTCTGGGTGACGGGCGCGTGCTGCTGGTGGGTTGGGTGCAGCGTGTGGGCCTCCACGCAGAGCTCCTCCTGGGGCGCCTTGTCACCCAGGGCCCCAATGCAGATGTGGTACGAGGAGTTGGGCTTCAGGGCCCGCACCGTGTATTCGGGCAAGGTGGCTGGCAGGCTGAGGGTGACAGGCCGCTTGTCTGGGCCTGAGAGGTTCCAGTAGGTCAGGCGGATCCCCTTGAGCTGAGGCTTGGAGCGGATGTAGTTCTGCAGGCCCACCTTGATGGAGGTGCTCCCCACGTGCTTGACGGCTATTTGTTTGGTCTGGGTGGGCTCTGGCAGAGCAGTCGTGCCCCCCCCGACCACCTCACAAAACAATCCGGTGAAGCCCAGGGGGCAGAGGCACTCCAGGTGGCGGTTGGGGCCTGGCTGGCACAGGCCCCCATTAAGGCAAGCATGCGGTGGGCAAAGCCAGGCCTCAGGGCTTGGCTGGCCCTCTGGGGCAGGCGAGGCCGTGGTCATGAGGCTGCCATGCCTGGCGGTGGGGCGGGCCTCTGGGGGAAGGGGCCTGCTGCTGCTGGGGAGTTTGGGGCTGGTTGCTCGTAGGGTGCTGCTGGTGCTGGTGCTGGTGGTGGGGCAGCCAAAGTCTGCGTACTCCAGCTGCTGGAGCAAGCGGCCTGCGTTTTTTGGGGGGAAGTGGCAGCGGGTCTCTTCTGGCCTCCGGAGTGAGGCTTTGCCGAGCCTGGCCCAGCTGACGACCCAGCTCATGGGGCAGACGCAGTTGAAGGGGTTCTCGGCGGCAGTGACCGCCCTGAGCCTGGGGAAGGAGGCGAAGAAGTCCCAGGGGAGCCCGTTGAGGTTGAGGTTGCTGATGTCCAGGTCCTGGAGCTGCTGGAGCTGCTGGAAGTCCTCTGCCCGCAGCTGCGAGATCAGGCCATTCCCTGCCAGGCTGAGCCTGGTTAGCCCGGGCAGCTGGCTCAGGACCCCGGGCACCCTGGCCAGCAGGTTGTCCGAGACATCCAGCTCATGCAGGTTGCGTAGGCTCTGCAGGAGCTCCTCATCCACACTGCGCAAGCCCAGCCCGGCCATCTTCAGGGACTCCAGGCTCCGCACGTGGACGGTGCCTGTCTCGAGGGCTGCGATCTTGTTCCGGCTGATGTCCAGCAGCAGGAGGGTGGGCAGGTTGAGAGGGGGCACCGTGTGCAGCTGGTTGTCCTGGAGCTTCAGTTCCAGGAGGCTTTCCAGCGAGTCGAAGGCAGCCGGGTGGATGGTCTGGAGCTGGTTGCGATCCAGGTAGAGCCGCTCCAGCAGGCGCAGTCCATGGAAGCTCTCGTTGGTGACCTCCTGCAGCTGGTTGGCGGACAGGTCGAGATTGTGGAGTCCCGGCAGCGGCTGGAAGACGTTGCGTGGCAAGCTAGATAGGAGGTTCTGGGAGAGGTCCAAGAGCCGGAGAGCGGGCAGCCCTGCAAAGCTGTCCTCGCTCAGTGTGTGGAGGCCACTCTCAAACATGTACAGGTGGGCTGTGTCTGGTGGCAGCCCCTGCGGGATGGCAGGGCTGCTCCTGGCGATGCAGAAGACGGTCTGGGGCTGGTTGCACTGGCAGTCGGCTGGGCAGCCCTGGACAAGGCTACCAGCTGAGAAAAGCAGCAGTGCCCAGATCAGGGGGAGCCTCATGGTGGAGCTTCTGCAGACAGAAAAACAGAGGGGGTGGGTGGGTAGGTCATTTCCAAAGCCCCCATGGGCCACCCCTGCCCAAGCTTTTCTCCTAGTGCAAGTCCTGGATATTTGCCTGACCCCCAGGAGTTTTTCTGAGAGGCAATCCTCTTACACAGACAGACACACACACACGGTTCAGTCTATGCCCCTTCTCAGGGATCAGCACAGGGCAGGAATGGATGCTGGCTTCCTTCCCAGGGGAGAAGAGCCTAGCCTCCCTTTGGTCCTGCCAGCATTCAGTCATCTCCAGGGATCAAGCGGGGAGGGCACCAGAGGAGGGGGCTGGCCATTTGCAGAAGAGACCCTGGCTTATTGGGAGGCCACGGGGCTGCTGGGCATCTTTCCTTTTGGGGCTGACCCCCATTCGCCAGCAGCTGGCATGCACTGCCACTTTGGGGTAACCCAAACTTGCCTCCTGTTCTACAGACCCTCCAAGGCTGGGCAGGGGGGCAGCATGTGATGTTGATTTCATGGAAAGCCAGCAAAGGAGGGTGCCCCCTATGCAGACACCCACATTGTGGTTCTGCCCACCCCTGTCCAAGTGCTGGGAAGGGCAAAGCACACACACACACACACACACACTCACTCACACAGAGGCATTCTTGGCAAGGATGAGCCGCTCGGCTTGGAGAAGGCAAGGTAGATGCCAGCCGGCTCAGGTGTGCCCCTCACCCCTGCAGTCCCCTCAGCCAGCCGTCACAGGCAGCTGGTCTGTCGCCTCATTTAATAAGGGAGATGATTAACTTTGGCTGAGAGGCTCTTAGAAAGGCTGCTGCTCACCAGGTGATCAGCTCTGGAATGTGCAGCTGAAGGAGGGGGAGAGCCCTGAGTTCGCTTGCAGAGAGAGGGAGGGGGGAGGCCTCCCCCCTCTGCACTTTGAGCGATTGAGCCCCTCCCCTCCCTTGAGCCTACATTACTCCTCACCCGGTAACCCTCGTCTGGCTGTGAGCCTCCCAACATTTGCAGTGGGGCCGGCCCTGAGGACGGCATTCATTGACATGCGGTCAATGCAACAACCCTGGTTTTCTCCATTGCCCTGGAACTAGCTGTCTGCCACTGTGCTCGCCTTGGGCTTAGGGACCGAGACTGGAAGGGGTCTGGCCAGGAGGAGGGCCCCTGGCTGCAGGGAAGCTGCAGGAGGACCTTGGCCTATGGATGGCTCTGCCCCGTCCCTTTATTTGTTGACCTGGCTGGGGGTGGGATCTCGCCAACCTTCCCCATTTGGGGCCTGCGAAAGAGGGGGGCCGGAGCAGCTCCCCGCCCCACCTGCCACCTCCAGGCTTGGGCCGCTGATAAGCAACCTCTTGCCCCCGACAGCCTATGGGGAGACATGTCTCGCCACCCAGCAGGCTCCCTCCACACCCCGCAAGGCTTGGGAGTGCCCTGCCTGGCCTGGAAGCCATCTGGTCCCAAGATGCCGCCAGGAAGGCTCCCCGCAGGCTCAAGCTAAGAAAAGCGCCCGTGTGGGGCAGCTGGCAAGGGATCAGAGGCTCCTTGACCCACAGCAGCCTTCCCTGGAGCCAGCCCTGGGTGGCGGGGGGGGGGGGGGAGCCACAGGAAACGCCCCATGCAGACTGGCTGGGAGGGGGGAGCACACTGCAAACACCTGGAGTCACTGTGCCTTCCAACACAGCCGTAGGGCAGGGAGCCCCACTTCCGGTCTTTCCTCCCCATATCATTCTGTCTTTCCATGAAAACTGGGGCGGGGGGAATGCTTAAGGGGTGCAGCAGGTCAGAGGCCCTGGCCGCTTGCTGGGTCCAGGAGGTTTGCTCCCCAATCAAGATTAAGGGGCTGCTTGGGCTCAGGCTGGGTTGAAATGCTCTGGAGGGGGGTGTTGCATAATCCAGGACCCTTCAAATGGGGAGCAATTGGGGGGGGGGCTGAGAACTGAGAGGCTCAGGTTTCCCAAAGATTCAACTGCTCTTCCATGGCCAGGCAGAGACAAGGGGACCCAGCCCCTCCCTTGGATAAGTCCTCCCCCCACCCTTGCTCCTGCATGCTGCCTCTGCTTCCTTCTCCAGCCAAGCGAGGCATGGAGTCCCCCGGGCTGCTCCTCAGGTTAGGCACCCCAAGCATCCTTTCCTCCCTTCAGAGCCATGGGGGACCCCAGCCAGGAAATGAGTCCCCAGCTTTGCCCTGCACAGAAGGGGCAGCTGGGTCTTCTGGGGCTCCTGTGGGAAGAGGGTGCCCTGGGTCTTTGGGCGGCAGGCTGTCATTAGCCTGGCACAGGCGTAACCCCTAATTAGGCCAGGGAGGAGCCGCCTAACCACATTTCCACGGCCAGGAGGAGGAGGAGGCTGCAAGGAGTCGGGCAGCAGCTGTGGGGCAGTGGGGGAGGGAGCGGCCCTAGCTTGGCTTGGACTTTGGGGTCAGGACCAGGTGGCACTCCTTGCAAATGGAGGGGGAGGAAACCCCCCCTGCGGTGTGGCTGGAGTGTCTCCTGATGGGCAGCACAGAAGAAGCCTGTTCAGAGGGGCTGTGAACCACCTTGCCCAGCTTGGGGCATCCTGCAAGCCTGGGGCCAAGGCGCTTTCACACGAGGTTGCATGGTCCAGCCGGCCCACCAGCCCAAGGCTGGAACCATATCAGGAAGTGGGCTGAGGGGGAAGCCCCGACATCCATGCCCCTCCCAAGATGGCAAGAAAATGCAGGCTGTACCCCGTATTGCAAGGCGGTTGCCTAGGCTGTGCTCTCCAGGGCTGGGGGAAATGTTGCCTCCCATCTCACCTGGGGGTTTGGGGGTCAAGCAGGTGTTAGCTGCTCTGTAGGAGCCCTCTGGCCCCTTCCCTGCCAAATTTCTAGCTTCCCCTCCACTCCAGCCCTCCCCCCTTGGAGGACTCTGCAGCCTCTCACCTCCCCAGCCACAGCATTCCTGCCCTGGCTTCTCCAGCTCCCCCCAGGTGTTGGGGAGGGGGCGAGCCAGCAGGTAGCGACCAGGGGCTCATCTGTGGTGTGTGGGAGGCCTCCTGCCCACCACACCATCTCCCAGGCTCCGAAGGAGAATTCCATTGTGTGAACAGAGTGGCAGAGGGCTGGCTGGGGCTGTTTTTCTGGTTGGGTCCTGGGCTGAGACATCGTGCCAAGTGAGAGACGCGCTGATGCCCCTGAACCCAGCCTACGTGTTGGCCAGAGGCTCCCCCAGGAGGCGTGCCAGTCCTTAAGCCCTGCATGTGGGTGTTCCCAGCTGGGTGTCCTCTGGGCCAGTTGGACTGCTTAGTCATGAGAAATCAGAGCATTGCACACCCGCCTTGAACCCACAACTGTGTACAGTCTTGGAACCAGGTTCCTCCAGAAATGCAGTTCAACTCCTGGCCAAACCCAATCAAGAGTGCAGATTTCTGGCTTGTAAACTGAGCACATCGGCCGCTCCGGCACCCTTCCTAAGATTCCTGACACCCATCCCACCCTCACCGGAAACAGGAAACTGGTCTTCCCTCTGGCTGGCCTAGCAGGCAGGACCTGTGCTCTCTTCCTAGGAAGGAGCAGCTTTCCTCCCCAGGAGGGGCTCAAGGGATGGGCTCCGTTGGGTTGGGTCCACTCAAACAGCAAGGAGGTCTTTGCTAAGCTGAAGCTGCTGCTGGGAATCCCCTCCCTCCACCCATCCTCACTTGGCCCTGGGCCCACAAGCCGCTGGCTCTACCTGAGCAGCAGCACTGGAGGTCCAGCAGCTCTCCAATGCCCCCTCCCCACAATTGTCTCTTGGCAATTCCTTGAGGGGAGAGAGGGGGGTGGTGGTGGTGGTGTCTGGCAGTGGTCCAGGTGCCTCCCCAGCCCCGAGGAACAGGAGGAGAGGGACGGACACTGCAGGGCCCACGGCTGGCAGCCTCAGTCTCAGGCGCCCTTCCCAGCCAGATGCCCAACCAAGTTCCTGAGCAGAGGCCTGGGGGGCAATTCAACAGAGACGGGGTGAACGCACGGCCACCTGGGTCGAGGAGGAGTGGGCCACCCAGCAGCTCCACTTCCTCTTGCTGAGGGGGGGGGGGGATGGTGTGGGGAGAGCCAAGATCCCACCAGTCTGCCTTGGCAAGAAACGGGGAAGGCTGCCCACCTCTGCTCTCCCACCCAGGCCGGCTTGTGCTCTGCTGCTCCGGGGCCTTTGTGTGGACGTTCACTAAGTGGGGAGGGCCACTTTGGGGTGGCACCGAGAGCAGGGCGGGAGAGGCTCCCACACGGCATGCACTTTGCCACCCCCCCTCCCTCCAGTGGGCCAGAGAAGCTGGCTGGCATCTGGAAGGGTACTTTGCACATGCTCAGGGTTGCCCAAGGCTGAGCCAGATGCAAACAAGTCGACGGTTCCTCTCCCGAAAGGGAAGCGGGCTCTCACCGCCGCTTGCGGGGGCGACAGGCGAAGTGCCTGGAATGTAGAGGGCGAGGAGGCGAAGCGTCCGGGCAGCTGGAGCGCCCTTCCTCGCCCTGCCGTTTCCTACGGAGCCGCTCCGATCCCCTCCCTCCGCGAACCGAGGCGCTTTCCGGGCGGCGGGGGCTCGGGGCACTTACCGAACGGGCTCGGCGAGGCAGGGCCGGGGTGCTGCTAGCGCGCGGTGCGTCGGGGCTGCTGCGGCGGCCGCTCCATCGGCGGCTCCGGGAAGCGGTGGCGCCTGGCGGCTCCTTGCCTGCCTCCCTCCCGGCCAGGCTGGCCGAGGCTCTGCTGACTCGGGTTTCAGCGCGCGGAGCCGCGGAGGGGCGGCGGGCGCCGATTGGCTGGGGGGCCCGGGAGGCGGAGCCTTCCGCCCCTCCTGCTGGCCGGTCGCGGACTGGGGAACGGGGAGGAGGGGGGGGGATCGCCGGCAGCGCTTTCCCTGCTGGGCGGAAGGTCCCCGGCTGGCCCCGTTGCCCGCGGCGGGCCTGCCTCTCCGGGTGCCTCAGCCCCTCCGCTCCTTCCAGCCTTGGCCCGGCAGGCGGGGAGCAGCTGGGGCCGCCTGCGGACCCACCTCCGGGAGGAAGGGATTTGTGGCCCCGACTCTCCTCAGCTTGGCCGGGCAGGAGAGCCTCGGTGGGTCAGGGCAGGCCCGTCTCCTGCACCGGCGGCTGCGCCCGGCCAGTCGTCCCGTCGCGCCAGCCTCCCTGGCAGCCCGTCAGACGAGCCGCTCGGCGAGATCCTCCCGTCGCAGCAAGGAGGCGGCTTGAAAGACCTGCTGGGCCTGTTTGGGGAGCGGGAGGGGCCGGGCTGCCCTTGTCATTTGGCCCCTTCTCAGGTGGCTGCAACCGCCCCAGAGGAGAGGAGCCCCAAAGCGGCCTTTCCCTGCCCACAACCGCTGCTGCCAAGACTGCTGCGCCCGCCCGTGGAAGGGGGTCCCTGCCGAGAAGCCGGGGCCCGCCGGGCCTGTCCCTAGGCTGGGCTCTGCCATGGCCGCCCCTCTCCTTCCCTCCCTCCCTCCCCCGCCCTGGTCCCTGCAAGCAGATTCCCCTCAGGCCTTCCGCCAGGCCCAGCCCTCTCACTGCCCACCCCTGGGGGAAGGATTGGGGCTGGCAGGGCTGGTGTGGTGGGTCTTGCCTTCCCAGAGCTTGCCTTCCCAGAAACCGGCAGTGTGGAGGAAGCGAGTGGGGTGGGGTGCAGGGTTGACTGGCTGCCAATGCAGGGGCACAGAAGGGGCACTTTTCTTCCAGCCCCCCTCCCAGTCCTGGGAGTCTCACTCCCAGTTGCTTAATGGGAGATGTAAGCGGCTGCAAGGATGAGCTGTGAAGGGGTCCCAGCGAGGAGTGACTCAGCCCTTTGCCCAGGCGCATGCAGGGCCGAGAAAGACAAGGGTGGCCAGGGGGAGGCTGGGAAGAGTGGGAAGCACAGAGGCCTGGGGCACATCCCAAGAGCAGAACAGGCACCCTGGCCGGGGAAGGCGGGGGGTGCTGGATGATCCGGGCTCTGGAGAGGGAGCAGCAGGTGCCCTTGGCAGGAAGGGGGCTCTTGTCGTGTCTCCAAGGGGCTTCTTCTCTCGCAGGCCTCTGATCCCGCTCTTTGACCCCAGCACCGGCCTTCTTGTCCTGGCAGGGAAGGTAAGTGCCGCTGGTCTCTCTGGGAGTGGCGGGAGGGGGGCGTTGCAGCAGCCGCTCAGGTAGCCATTCTCTTCCAGGGAGAGAAGGGGCTTCTCTGCTATGAGGTGCAGCCTGCGCAGCCGGCCATGGCAGAAGGTGAGTCCCCCTCCCCACAGCTTGCTTGCCCAGGGTCCCCGCCCAGGAGTTGGGCGCCTCTCTGCCACTCACTCAGCTCTCTGCTCAGTTCACCGGTGCTTTCTGGAGACCCGGACTCAAGGGGTGGCCCAGCTGCCCAGACTGGCCCTGGATGTCACAGCCTGCGAAGTGATGAAGGTTTTGCAGCTGAGTGACTCGGCCGTTGTGCCCATCAGCTACCTGGTGCCCAGGAAGGTAAACCAGCCAAGCTGGCCGCATGGGAGTAGGTGGGGCCTCTGGCTCCAGCAGGTCTTATTCAGCCCTGGCCTTTCTTGCAGTCCACACATGAGTTCCACAAAGACTTATTTCCTGACTGTCCTGGAAACATCCCGGCAGCATCCGCTCAGGCCTGGTGGGCAGGGGACAACACGCAGGTAAGGAGGAGGGCTGAGCTCTCCCCAGTTGGTGGCCCCCAAGATCTTCAAAGACCCCACCACCACCCTGGTGGCTTCTTGAGCTGACCACCGTCAAAGCAGCAGGTGGCCTCTCCTGCCCACAGGCCTTCTCCAGGGAGAGGCTGCTCTGGGCCTGACGTGGTCAGCCCTGGCCAGCATTGACCTATGCCTTTGATTGCCCTTCCCCATAGCGGCCCCCTCCTGGGCCTTGGCTCCTCTGGCAGGGGTTAAACCTTTCCTCTCCTGGCTCCAGGTGGAGATGGTGAGTCTTGATCCTGCCTACAGGCCCAGCCCGGGCTTCCTCTCTGCCTGCCTGCCTCACCTTGACCAAGACAGCCAGCACCCGCTCTCTGCCCACGTGGAGGCAGGGGATCAGGCCAAGGATCTGGACAACAGTGTGAGTGGCCGTGGCTGACAGGGCACCTGGTAGCTTTGCCCACTTTCCGGGGTGCCCTGGTCCCAGCTTCCTTTGAGCAGGGATGATCTGGGCCTGTCCCCATTCCTCCCCTCGGTGTGCTGGACTCCAGCCCGCTTGCAACTGGCTGACACATGCCATTGCTTTTTGCCAGGTGGGCAGCCTGTCGTCTCCTGGCAGTTCTCTGGCATCTCCCTCCAGCGCTGCCCCCTCTCTCTCTGCCACCAGTGGCTTTTCCTCCAGCCCAAGCCAGCGGTCCCTGCAGAATATTCTGGGTAAGGGTCTGTGGGCCAGGGACACCGGCAAGAATGCCCGGGCTGCCTTAAAGGGTGCTTTATTGAGGTGTGGATGCTGTGGGGCACAAGGAAGATCCATGGGGCAGCCCACCCCCAGCCCACCCCCACCCCCTTGCCTTCGTCTCCAGGCCCGAGTTCTGCCTTCCGGCACATCGAGGGCACCGTCTTGCCTCGCAGCACCCACATCACCAACCTGCGAGGCTTGAGCCTCACCACACCAGGAGAGTGCGATGGCTTTTGCGCCAACCGGCATCGCATCGCCATCCCACTGCTTGCCGCAGGTGGACAGGTGGCCATTTTGGAGGTGAAGCACCAGCCCCGCCCTCAGCGTCATGGCCGGCTACAGGCTGCCGGGGGGCGGCGGGGCTTCCTCTGCCTTGGCAAAAGACAAGGAGGAGTGGCGGAGGGCACCATGCACATGGCTTCCTTCCCTCTCTCCCAAGCTCTCCCAGCCAGGGCGACTCCCTGACACCCCCATGCCCACCATCCAGAATGGGGCACCCATCTCGGATCTGTGCTGGGATCCCTTTGATGAGCAACGCCTAGCCATCGGTAGGGACCGGGGGGGGGTCTTTTTCCAGGGGGGCGTTGTCTGGGCATCCCAGCCTTTGGGCCGGCTGAGCCCTGCCACAGGGCCACACCCCATCCCAAGGGTCCTTTCTTCCCTCTCTGGTGCAGCTGGAGAAGACACCAAGATTCGGCTGTGGCGGGTTGAGCCAACCGGGCTGCAGAAGCAGCTGCTGGAGCCAGAAGTGGTCTTGAGAGGTCAGCACCCCCATCCCTCCACCCCATTCTCCTTGTGGCTGGCCAAGGCAGGATCGGCCTAGGGAAGCCTGGCGCTGCTCTGAATGCAGCCTCTCTCCTTCTCATGCCAGGCCACACAGAGAAGATCTACTCCATCAAGTTCCACCCTCTGGCCGCCGACATCTTGGCCTCCTCCTCCTATGACAAGAGTGTCCGGATCTGGGATGTGCGCACAGGGAGGCAGGAGCTGGGACTGCACGGCCACACGGACCAGGTGGGGAGCACAGCGGCATCTCCAAGTTCTTTGTTACCTCCAGAAGTGTTCTGTCGAATAGCCAGCAATGAAGTCGGCCTGGCAGCCCAGCATCCACCCTGATGGCGGGGCATGCAGTCCGCCTTGCGCGGAGGGCTGGCCGACCCAGCATCCTGGAGTGCAAGCCTCCCTCAGCCAACCTGTTGTTGCTTTCAGATCTTCAGTCTGGCCTGGAGCCCCGATGGATGCTGCCTGGCAACCGTCAGCAAGGATGGCAAAGTGCGAGTTTACGAGCCTCGGCAGGCTGGGCAGCCCTTGCAGGTCAGGGTCCGGCCAGGCTCTTCTGGAGGGCAGCGCCCGCATGTATCCCGGACAGCCCACGTGGGCAGCTGTAGCCCATTCTCTTTCTGAAGCCTCTCCCCCCTTGCCCCCGCACAGGATGGTCCAGGGCCTAAGGGGGGTCGAGGTGCCCGTGTCACCTGGGTCTGTGGTGGCAAATACCTGCTGGTCTCCGGCTTTGACAGGTGAGCCCCCCCCCCCCCCCCAGCAGTCTCCCAATTGCTTGCAAGAGCACAGCCTGTCTCATCTCTTTCTCCCCCTTCCTCTTTCAGCCGCAGCGAACGCCAGCTCTCCTTGCACCAGGCTGAGGCCCTGGCTGCTGGACCTCTAGCCACCCTCGGCCTGGACGTCTCTCCCTCCACCCTCATCCCTTTCTATGACGTAGACACCAGTGTGGCCTTCTTCACAGGCAAGGTGAGCCAAGAGGGAAGGGAGATCCTGCCGCTCAGAGGGCAGGGGCTTTGGGGCATGTCCAAGGGAGCAATGCAGGCCATCTGGCCCCTGCCCTGCAGTATCTTTAGGGGGGGGAGAGACACAAAAATGGCTCTTCTTTTGCCTCTAGCCAGGCTGGGCATCTGGTGTGTGGAGCCCAGTTTCCCACTCAGGTGGATTCAGCTTCCCCCCACTGCATTTCTCCTGGCTGGTTCCCATGGCGCCAGTTTAGCCTTTGTGTAAGGCTTGGACAGGAGCCCCCCCGTCAAGGCTGTGCATTCGACCTCTTCTCTCTCCTGGGAGCTTAGGGTGACACGAGGGTCTTTGTCTATGAGGTGGTCCCAGAGGCCCCTTTCTTCCTGGAGTGCAACAGCTTCCTCTCCTGCGACCCCCACAAGGTGAGGCACCTCCTGGGACCTGCGGAGAAACAAGGTTGGGATGCTGAGAAATCCTTTCAGGCTGGAGTCTTTACTGGACTTGGCTTCTTTTGACACTGTGAGGGCCAAAACTTTGCGTGAGACTTTTGAAAACGCCGCAGAGGGCAAAGAATGGAGCAGCAGCCCTCCTGCCTGCTCCCCGCCCCCCAACACTGGCAGCCAGGGAGCGGTGGTCCCTGCCAGAGGCTGGAATGGCATCCCAGAGGGGAAGAACTTTGGGGCCACCCTTCCCTCAGTGGCTGTTGACCTACCTGGCCACCCGGAGGCCTCTTCCTCTGCTGGGGGATTCTTTGACCAGCATTAGGTGGCCTGCCCTCTTGTGGCCATCCAGGGCCAGAGCATCCCAACAGCAGAGAAGCTTTTGCAAGATCTCTGGGGTGCTGGTTGGGGAGTTGTTCCTTGCAAGGCAACTGGTCAGTCTCTCTCCTTGACTGCTCCAGGGTTTTCACTTCCTGGCCAAGACGGCGTGTGATGTGCGGGAAGTCGAGATTGCCCGGGCACTGCGCCTCCGGCAGACCTCCATTGAGCCGGTGGCCTTCCGAGTCCCCAGGGTCAAGGTAGAACCCCAAGGCTTGGCCTGTAGAGCCATGTGTGTGTGCGTGCGTGCGTGCATGTATGGGTCTGCAGTCGGGGGAGGGGTGTATGGGTGCATTGCTCAGACCTTCGGTCCACACTGCCAAGCAACGCTTGCAATTGGCCAGCTTCAGTTGCATGAATCAGTCGTTCCGAAACCCAGAATGCCTCCCTGTGCCCGGTATTCCTTAGAGGTCCAATCATTTGCTCCAACCCCCAAGGAGGCTCGCATGGGGAAAGTGACCTTCCGTGGTGCTTGCTAACTCCAGGGCCCTTTACTTACCTACAGCCAGACATGTCCATGGAAGGGCCCACCCTCATCTCTTGCAGCTGCCCGGCAGCTTTCTTCAGGGGAAGGACCTTCGCTGGAGGCCCCCAATCTAATACCTCGCCCCCTCCCCAGTTCAGAGCCTGTCTGAGAGGCTCAGCATTGCCCCTGAGGTGCTCCAGCCTCTCATCAGCCGTGGGGCATTTCCTTCCCATAGAAAGAATTCTTCCAGGACGACCTTTTCCCGGCCACGCAGGTGTGGTGGGAACCTGCCCTGCCAGCCACAGCCTGGCTGAAGGGCGCTAACAAGCAGCACCAAACCATCAGCCTGCAACCCCAGGACATGACCCCAGGTAAGGGGGGAGGGGGGCTGAGCAGGGAGGGCTGAAGGAGTTCAGGGGACAAGAGAGCAAGGGGCTCCTGCTGCCTTCCCCCACGCAGTGAGCCAAGTGCCCAAGGAAGCCCCCAGCCGGAAATACCTGCCTTCCTCCACCTACCTGAATGAGAAGTCCGATGAGCAGAAGAAAGAGGAGGTGAGCCTTCACTCCCTTGGATCTCCTGACACTGGGGGAAGGGGCAGTTCCTCTGCCTTGGGGTGAAGAAGCCCCCTCTAACTCCCGTTCTCTGCAGCTGCTCAGTGCCATGGTGGCCAAGCTGGGGAACCGAGATGACCCCCTCCCGCAGGACTCCTTGGAGGGAGTGGATGAAGAGGAGTGGGTAAGAGCAGGGCTGGGAGGGCAGCCCCCTCAGAGCCCCGGATGAAAGGAAGCGTCAGACTTGGGGGGCAGGCTGCTCCCCACCGGCTGGCTTCTCCAGCTAAGCCCAGAGAGATCCGACTCTCCCCTCTCTCCCTCCCTGCCTCCTTTATTCCAGGGTGGGGAGCCACTGAGGGCTGGCTAGCACCAAAGCTCTGTCTGTGGAGGGTCTTTCACTTCGGAGGGATGAACTTTGTCCCACTACCCACAGCAGGTGACTTCAAGCAGCTGGCCCGACATTGCTCAGCCATGCTCATCTCTTATTGCTCTGTAGGAGTAGCTGCAGGCGCTGGAAAGACTGATGCTGCCTCTCTGCCTGCAGCCCCTGCAGAGCCCGGGATGGAAGGAAGCGTCAGAGTCGGGCTGCAGGCTGCTCCCCACCGGCTGGCTGCTTCTGCTCAGGGGCTGCCCTCCTGCTGGGATGGGGACTCAGACCACCTGTGTACTATTGCCTGACTAGGGGGTCCTCGGGGTCTGTCCTTGGCAGGAGCCTTCCTGTTCCATCTTGGCTTGTTGCTTTGAAGCTGGTGGGCCAGTTGCAAGCATTCTCGGGGCTCGTTCACTGCCCACATGTGCCCATGATTCCAGGCTGGCATCCTGAAGCTGCAGAAGCTTTGTTCACCAGCTGCCTTCTCAGGAAGGAAGAAGCTCCTTTCTCCAGCTGATTCCCTCTTGCTGGGTGTAACCCTAACATGAAAACCTCCTTCCTCCTGTTCTGGTGTCTCCTGTGTCTTTATTCCTTCTGTGGCTTCCCAGCCAGGATGCGGCCCCCTGGCTGCCTCTTCCCGAGGAGCGCTCTCTGCTGATGTCACTGTCACTGCTGATGAAGGACTGGGGGGGGGGGGGGCGGGCACAGAGTTACACCTGGGCTTTTTGGCAGCTTACCACCAGCTCCCCTAAATCCACGGGTTTCACTTCCCCAGTTCTGCCAGCTATAAAACTGCAGAAGCCCAGATCCCCTGGCTGGGAAGGCAGAGAGGCCCTTCCTTTGGGCACCGGGGTGGTCCTTACACACAGCTCCTACCAAAGGCTCTCCACCCCCAGGCCCCTTTGGAGGCAGGTTGCCCCTGGCCGCGGTCAAAGGAAGCCCCCATCCCCTCCCCCCCCCGGCGAGTTGGGCGCAGCTCAGGGCTCCGTCCCCCTGGTAGATGGCGGGAAGGGTGGCAAATTCCTCGCAGCAGCTCCCGGTTGCAGCTGGGCCGAATCTTTCCAGGGTGCCTGCAGGGCAGGAGGAGGCAACGCGGGCCGCCTCGGAGCGATCGCTGAGCTCGGAGAAGTCGCTGCGCTCGCGATCGCCGTGGGGTGTCTCCCGCGCAGTACCCGAGGCTGCCGCTGGAGTCGCCCTCGCGTGCACCGCCGCACGAGGCGCTCTGGCCGCTCCTCGTGGCTGCTTCCGGGACGAAGGACCGCTCCTTCCGGTCGCACTCCTCTCGGGCGTTCTGAGCTGCGCTCCCGTGGCGGACATGGTGAGCGGGCGGCGGGGCGGGCGGGCGAGCCAGGCGGGGGGCGGGGCCTGACCGCCGTTGTCTCCGCAGGCCAAGTACCTGGCGCAGATCGTGCTGGTGGGCGTCCAGGTGGTGGGCCGCGCCTTCGCCCGCGCGTTGCGGCAGGAGTTCGCAGGTAAGCCGGGCCGGGGGGCGCCGGGCGCGGGCTCTCGGCCCCTGGCGGGACGCTAAGCCGCCTTGTCCCCGAGCAGCCAGCCAAGCGGCCGCCGAGACGCGCGGGCGGGCGGGCGCCCAATCCTGGGCGGCCTCCAGCCTCTCCGGAATCAGCCTGCAGGAAGCTCAGCAGATCCTTAACGTCTCCACGCTCAGCCCGGAGGAGATCCAGAAGGTGGGCCGGCGCCGCGGGTTCGGGCCGGGAGGGCTCTCGGGCAGCGGCCCCTGCGCAACGGCGAGGCGGAGAAGCAAAGGGCCGACCCTCTGAACCTGACCCGGCGTTGTCTGCTTTTCTTCGGCAGAACTACGAGCATTTGTTTAAGGTGAACGACAAGTCCGTGGGGGGCTCCTTTTACCTGCAGTCCAAGGTGAGTCAACCGGCTCTCCGCCCGGGCTGAGGGCAGGAATGACGGCTGCCTGCTGGAGCGTCGCTGCTCTCTGTCGAGGGCCAGCGCTTTAGGTCCGAGGCATCCCTCGGTCCCTCCCCCTTTTCTGGCAGCGTTTTGAAGCCCTCCAGGTCCACGTGGGTGGGCTGCGCGTGGCGTCCGGGCAACCTTGGAAGGTCGCGGCTGCGCCCCCCCCCCCCCAGCTGTTAAAGCCTCCTGTCATCTGCCCCCCCCTTCTCCTGGGCGGTGCTGCCCTCTGGTGGCTGCTTGCCGCCCACAAAGTGGGTGGGCGCTCTGCCACACGTGTCTCTGGAGTGCCAACCCTCTGCCCTGCAGGTGGTCAGAGCCAAGGAGCGGCTGGACGAAGAGCTGAGGATCCAGCCCCAGAGGGAACAAGACTCGCCACACAAGCCAGGCACGTAGCACACCCTCTCTCTTGCACTGGTGTCCCATCTAAATTATAGCTAGCAATAAATACCCCTTGCGTAGCTGGTCTCGCATTGTCTTCAAAGAAAGGAGGTTCCAGATTCCCACCCCAGCTCGGTTGCTGAGGTTATAAGATGGCAAGGCTGGTTTGCTCTCTTTTTCTACACAGCTTCCCTAATAGCTGCTTCCTCAAGCCCAGAGGAAAAAACATGCTTGCCCCTCTTGCAGTGAGAAGCCAGGGAGCCAGCCTGCCTCCCTGCAGGACGTCCCTGGTGGCATTTCAGTTAAGACTCGCCTCTCAAAGGGGGACATTATGATTGACTGTCCAAGCATGCCCTGTTCTCCCAGGTAGGCCAGGCACCTGACCAGCTGCTTATGGGGCCTTGCCTTGGTCTGATTGCCCAAGGCCAGCTCTGCTGCTACGGGCTGCACATGACCGAGCCAGAAGTGGATAGCTTGGGTTTTGCTGTAGCATCACAGCTTAAATGGGCATGAAGTCCCCTTTTCTCCGAACGCCCCCCCATCCCTAGACACAGACATCACCAGCACCGAGCAAGGCTTTTTTGTGTACTTTATTGTTCTTGTCATAATCATCCTCTCTTCTGGAGGACCAAGTGGGTCAAGTTATAGCTTATCTTTTTCTCTCTTAAAACTATGCTAACATAACAGAGGCAAGAGGAGGGCATCACCCCCCAGCATAACCTACAATCAAAAGGCACTTAGAAACAGGGAAACACTGGCAGCCTGCGTGCATCAACTCTGAGGCCGGGTTGCCCAGCGGGATGCTCTGAGTGGGAGCCCCAGAGCAGGCATGCATGTGCTTGGGAGTCCAGCTCCCCTGCCCGGCTGTTCTGGATCCCTGGCACTATGTGGACCACTGAAGGCCTGCCAGGAATTGTCTGCCGGGGCTGTGCAAGGGTGGTATGTAGATGGCAGAGGGACAGTTGCAGGTCCCTTGAGGGGGATTTATTGGGGGCTACCCAGAGATGCCCTTGTCTAGGAAAGGCGTTTGGAAACAGAGTGACCCACCAATACAAGGAGGGCAGTCAAGAGGTAACCTGGGCTGCTGCAGGAGGAGCAGGGTGAGGGGTGCAGAGCAAATGCTCCTTCTCTGCTGGGCTCCCGAAGCTGGTACAGCTGGCAGAAGGGCCTGTTTTTAGGGGAAATGGGATGTTTTTCCCACCCGTCCCTAGGTGGGTGCCAGCTATCTCCTGGCCAGGCTTGACAAGTTCATGGCTTCCTGCTGGAAACGTAGCAGGTCATCTCGAATCTGCATAAGAGGTGCCAGCTTGTCCAGTGCTCTGCTTTCCTAAAAGCAAGGAATGCTTCCCCCCCCCCCCCCCCCCCAAATGAAGAGGAGGGCAGGAGCAGCCCAGGACTCTGCACAGACTGAACCTCCATCCGGGGATGCTTTGCCGTCCTCCCATCCTCACTGCCCCTGGAAGGGGGTTGCACAGCTTTAACATAAGAAACTGCTCATAGAGGGAATTCCTCCGCGTCAGGGAACGGTCTCATCAGCAGCAGCACACGCCACGGTGTGCCTTGTCAGAGAGGCCTGGACCAGGCAGAAGCCCTGGGCTGGAGGGAGGGAGGCAGCCCATAGCAGCTCTTCCAGCATTGGTTTCTGAACAGCAGGCAAAAGGGGGAGGAAAAGGCCTCTGAGCCACAGGGTGGCACTGCTGGGCTCCAGAGAAAAAAATGGGGGGGGGGCAGGGGAAGCACCCCAAAGGCAGATAGGAACAAACTGGGCACAGCGAGGCCTGCAGCGTGGCTGCTGCTGCCAGCACCAAAGGGGCCAAAAGAAGGCAGAGGATTCTTCAGGTGGGCTCCCCCAGTGTTGCTTGAGCTGAAGCCGGGCTGGGAAAAGGGGGTCTGGGTTGAGGGGATCTTGCTGGGGATGAACCAACCAGCTCTGCTTCGTCCATTGGCGCTCCTGGGTCGGCCCTGCCTGGCATTCGGCAGAACAGGGAGAGGGGAGGGCGGAGTCCCTGGCTGCTGCCCTGGGAAGCTTCTTATTGCTTTGCTCAGAGATGCCCCCCCTCCCCCTTGAAAAGCCCCAGTCGCCATGTAGAGGGGGAGGAAGAAGGGGGGTGAGGGCAGAAAGGAAGAGTCCCAGGAGCAGCTCAGCAGGTCTTCCTCACAAGGAGTCTTGCATCGCTCCCTCAGATTGAATGCCGGAAGGTCCCCTTCCAGTCCTCCTCCTTGCTCTTCCCTACTTAGCTCACCACAGCTTCCTTCAGCAAAACGGAACCAGGTGGGATCACCATCCAGCCCGGTGGCAGAGTGTCAGCAGCTGCCCCTGAGTTCATGCCAGTGGACAGGTCCAGGACGCCCCCGGGGAGCAGAGAGAGGCTGTCCGTGGTTGTCCGCAGCCTGGCCAGTTTCACTCTCTCACTGGTCTCCTTGCATCGGCTGCTGCCGCCAATGTCGCCTTTGAAGGGCCGGGCCCTGCTCTCCTGCCCTCGCTCAACAGCCGCCTTGGCGGAGGTGCCAGCCAGCAAGGACACCACTGGCAGCCCCAGGTGGCCCACTGAGAAAGGAGAGGCCAGCAGGGGGTTCTTGGCCAAGTTCAAAGGGGCAAGCGTGGGGCTGGGCAGGCCTGCGATGGCGGCCGTGCCCAGCCCACCACAGGCTAAGGTGCTGAGGTCCAAGGGGCCCTGGGGGAGGGGCAGGGGCAGGCTGTGGCTGCCAAAGAGGGCGGCCGGGTTAGGCACAATGATCTGTGCCCCGCTGAGGTACGATGCGTCAGCCATGAGGGGGGGGCCCTTGGGGGGCTGCAGCTTCAGCAGCTCCTGCTGCTCGCGGGTGATGAAGTGCCCGTGGGCCTTGATGTGCTTGCGGAGAGAGCTGGGGTCGGTGTAGCGCTTGTGGCAGCCGGGCATCTTGCAGTGGTAGGGCTTGTCCACGTAGTGAGTGCGGGTGTGCTTGAAGCGGTCGCTGGAGTTGGAGTAGCGCTTGCTGCAGCCTTCGTAGGGGCAGAGGTAAGGCTTCTCCCCTGCGGGAAGAGGGTGGAGCAGGGCTGCTTCAGGGAGGAGGGACTTCGGGAGGGACCCCGACCCCCAGGCTATCCCACTGCCCTCTGCAGGACCGGTCTGGGGCAGATTGGATCTCTGCCCAACGGGAGAGTACATCCGGGGGGGCTGGCCGGTCTGGAGGGAAGCCGTGCTGATGGGGGAGGGTCAAACCCCAGTCAGACTCACCTGTGTGGGAGCGGTTGTGGATCTTCAGGTTCTCTAGCCGGGAGAAGCTCTTGTTGCAGGTGGGGCAGCGGTGGGGCTTCTCATTGGTGTGTGTGCGGATGTGAATCAGCATCTTGTACCTGCAGAGCAAAAGCCGCTCGCAAGGGGGGGGGGCTTTCCACCGCCCCAGCACCTCAGCAGCTGGGGCTGCTTCCAAAGACCAAGGCCGGGCTTCCTGCTGTCCGCTGACAGGAGGGATGGCTTGGGCAAGTTGTGGCCATGGCCGGGAGAGCAACAAAATGGCCATGCGCAAGCGTGACCAGAGCAGCCTTCCCCAGGCATTTCATGCTCACTGGAGCATTGCGGTTGGTGAGCCGCAGCTGCCCCACCCCTTCCCAGCAGCACGGAAAGTTACCTGGCATTGAAGCCCCGGCCGTGGCGGGCACAACCCTCCCAGTGGCAACGATAGCCAGCATCCTTTTCTGGCTTCACGTGGAAGTCGTTGACGTGGTCCACCAGGTCTTGCAGGAGCTCAAACAGCTGGTTGCACTGGGGGGGGGGGCGAGAGCAAGGCCTGGGGGTCACTGGAGAAGAGCACAGGCACCCCGGCTTGGCAGAGGCAGGTTTGAAAGGAGACTCTGCTCACCTTTGACCAGCGGCACACCAACTGCTTCTGCACAGCCGTATCCAAAGGGAGCCGCTTCTCCTTGGGGGGCGCCAGGAAAGCGGAGGCAGGCAGGTGCAGGGACCCTCCCGCATTCAGAGGCAGGAAGAAGTGAAAGGAGCTGCGGAGACTCTCCAGGTAGCGCAGGGATTGCAGGTCCTGGGAGAGGCAGGAGGGGCAGTTGGCGGGCAGCCCATCCCCCCCCATAATGAGTGGGGGTGTCTGTTCTGCCACGGGCAGAGGCCCCTTCCCAGGCTTGGCAACGGAGGGGAAAACCTCGGGAAGAGCTGGAAGCAGATTCGGCGGCTCAAAAAAGATGCTGGGGATGGCCAGGCCAGGGGGAGTCCCTCTGCTTGCCCCCCCCCAACTTGCTCAGGAGCGCCAGTGGCCATTAGACACAATATCCCCTTGAAAGCCACGGGGAGGGGGGCAGCAGAGACCTCCACAGCACAGAGCCTGTCACTGCTTCAGGCCTTGAGGGAGATTCAGAAAAGCTCTGGCACACCTGGGCTTTGTGAGCTCCCCTCGGGAGTTGGAATGCCCTATTGCACACACACCCCATCCCCACACTTACACGCAAGCTGGCGCAGTTTACCAACCCTCCATTGCTCTGCCTGTCTGGGGAGGCGGATGTGCTCCCACTGGGGAGGGTGTCCCGGCCTGGTGGAGAAGGAGACAGGCTCAGGTCAACGGTAGGAGGCGAGGAGAACTGATGGTCTCTCTTGTCTTGGCGTTGGGGGTGCGGCTGGAGGCCTGGAGGGGGCAAAGATGGATCAGGATCAGCAAGTGGGGCACCCCTTGCCCGCCAGCGAGGGAGCAGCCCAGCCCCCCCTTCCCAGCCTGCTACTCACCCTCCGGAGGGGAACGAGGGGAGCCCGGGCCTGCTGCCAGGTAGCCTGCGTCTTCTGAGATCTGGCACAGAGCTCGGCCCTTGCGGCTGCCCAGGGCCCAGTCATGCTTCTCTCTCGCGGCCGGGAGTTTGGAGACACTCAGCTTGAGGTCCAGGGGCTCCTCCAAGGAATGCATGGGGGGCCAGCAGCGAGGGAGCAGACTGCTCTGGTCAGCTGGGGGGGACTCGGGGGCGGGGTCTTCTGTCGTCCTGTGTGAGAATCGGAAAGGAAGGGATGCCAGCCTGTGCTGTTTCCCCAATGGATCCTCTGGTGCCACCAGCCCCAAAGCTGCTCTATGGAGAATCCAGCAGGAGGTTTGTCCCTCAATGCTTACTACTTCTGGGGGTGCAGGAGGCGGCTGGCCTGGGCAGCCTCCTTTCCACAGGGAAGGGTCCGAGGGGGCCAGCAATCAATCGGGTGGGAAAACCCAGCTGCTTGATCCCTGCCCTCCTCCTGCTTCATCAACCAATGGGGCACAGTGGGGGAGGGGGTTGCAAAAGCAAGGCCATCAGGCTACCCTCCCTCCCATCGGGCTTTCACTTTGTGGGTGCCAGCACCCCCTCCCCCACAGGAAGACCTTCCAATTGCAAACAGCTGCTCCTAGTTCTTGCCTGCGGGCTGTGGAGCTTTGAGGTGGGGGGGGGGGGCGCTTCCTGGCCCAGGCTGGGGAAAGGGCAGCAGCAAGGCCTCCCGAACCCACCCACCCCAGGCAAAAAGCAGCCAGCGGGCGGCCAAGGAGGGGAGCCGGGCACAATGCGACACCTTGGGAATTGGGAAGGAGCCCCGAGGCTTGCTAAAGCCGTTTCCAAGGGGGCCTGGGTGAAGTCAGAGCGCCCACTTCACAGGGAGGGGCGGGCTTCTTTTGCAGGGGGGCAACGCTAGTTGCTCTTGGGCGTTTGGGCAGAGGAGCGAAAGGCTGCTAGGCTCTCGCGGGCCGTTGCTGCCCAGCCAGCCCTCGCCCCCTATGCGGCCCCCTCCGCGCAGCTCGGCTGCCTGAAGCGGCGCCCGGACGGCCCGGGGATCAACACGGCGCAGCATCCACGGCCGCCCGGCGAGCCAAGCGGGCCGCCTGCTGACACGTGTCTCCCCCTTCCTCCCACTCGCCCGGCCAGCCTCCGCACTCGAGCCCCGCCGGCAGCGCCGCTTCTGACACTCTGCCCATGCTCAGAGGCGCAACCCCTGCTCGCCTGCCTGACCTGCCGGCGCTCCTTGGAGGCGGTTCCGCCCGAGGCCGCGGCTGTTGCTTTTCCTCCGGCCGGGGCCCCTCCGCGCCCCCGGCCGCCAGCAGCGCCCGCCCCGTTTGTCGCAGCCGCATCCGAGGGCAGGCCGGGCGCAGGAAGGGGTAGCGTGCCTTCCCTCTCCGGCAAAGCCGCCGGGCGGGCATCGATCCCCCACCCCCTCCGGCGCTTTCCGTGGGCCTGGCATGCCGCGCCCCCCGCCCGGCTCTGGGCGGCACCTGCGAACTCACCCGACCCGGATGGCGCAGGCCAGCTCCTGCTCGCCCTCCCCGCCGGCCTTGGCGCTGGGCCCGGCCGGGCTGCGGCTCAGACACGCTGGAATGCGCAGGCACCTCCCTGGAAGTGGGGGGGGGGCGGACAGGCGGAGGGAGAAGCACCCCGGCGAGGCCAGCGCTGAGTCTGCAATGCAGAGACGGGGGAGGGGGGAATCCGCGCATTTGAGAAAGGGGCAAAGATCTTTGCAAACCCCCCCCCCCCAGACCCACGCTCCGCACTCCGGGCCAGCCTGAGGCCCAGTGGGGAGGGGGCGCTTCTAGCACCATCTACACCCCACCCTCTTCCTGGACTGGGAGAAGAGGGGAGGGCGGTGACAAAGGAGGTGCAGCCTAGCCGGCCGCAGAGCAGCTGGAGGGGTGAATGCAGGTGTCAGGCCCCACTGTGGGCCTCTCCCGGAGGAAGCCCTGGCTTAACCCAGGCCCTACCCTGACGCAGCCGCACCCCACACCTGGCGCAAAGGGCTCAGGAGTGAGTGATTGAGTGAGTGAGTGTGCCCAGAGCAGAGACAAGGCAGCTGGGAAGGATCAGACCCCCCTCCCATTCAAGATGCCGGCCACAACAGGGCAGCCGTAGTTCAGGGGAGCCCTTGCCTACCTCCCCAGCACTGATCCTCTTCCACATGGAGAGGCCGCTTTGTCCAGCCCCGGCCCCTCCCCCAGGAGGAATGCCTGAACAGAGTCCTGCCTGCCCCAGAGGCTCTCCCGTGCCAGCGGCCCCCTGGCAGAAGAACCTCTGGCCGGCTTCAACCAAGTCCTGGCAGGCACCCGAAGCCAAGCGCATGGCCAGGGGCCTTCCGTCTTCTGCTGCCAGATCCATGCAGCAAGCATTTGCATCAGGGCTCCAGGATGTTTTAGTGGCAGCAGATCAGGGCACAGGCAGTCTGGGGGAGGCCCCAGCGTGGTGGCTCAGGATGTGGGCACCATTTCCCAGGCAGAGAGAATGGAGTGCCAAAGGAGGAGCTGCTGTGCAGAGCAGCCTCCTGCCTCCACGGAGTCTGGCTCCCCACCCCCCACCATATTCCAGCGGCCTCTCGCTGGATTCCTGAGCTGCTCCCAGGAGCTGGGCTGGGTGGGACACTGGATGGGAAGCAGCTCCCCCGCCCTGCGAGGCAGCAGCAGCTGCCAAACCAAACTGGCCCCAGAACAGAACATTCCTGGGAACAAGCCTTCCCAGAATCCAAAGGAAGTCGACCGAGGGAGCCACTTCCAGGAGGGGCCAGCAGGCCTCCTTCCACAGATGTGCAGAGGCACCTAATGTCCCTCCAGTGTTGGCCAACAGAGGATGCTGGGGGGAGGACAACAAGGAGCGTCCAAGCCAAGCCTGGCAGATGGACAGAAGCTGTCCTGCTGGCAAGACCCCCCCCCCAGCTGTTCTCTTAAGACTTGGACCCTTCAGAGGGAGGCGGGACAGCTGGGCATTCAGGCCAGAGCTGCCCCCACCCACTCCATGCTTGGGCGCAGCTCCCTGTTCCTTCATCCCTGGCAGACCCACCTCACCACTTCCCTCCTGTACTGACTCATATTGACGACAGCCAGGCAAGGACTGGATGTGGTCAGGAAGCGGCCAAGAACACAGAGGCAGCTCTCTCAGGCACCTCTCCAGGACTGGCACTCCGGAGGGGTCTTCCAGGCACTCTCGTTGTTCAGGACTGCACCGCTGGCAGGTGAAGAGCAGTTGCCTGACACAGACCGCATCAGCCTGAAGGAGACCCCCTACTCAGCCACCTCTCTGGTGAGGAAGGCAGGCTAAAATCCAGTGGACAGAGCGCCAGCCAGTCTGTAGTGGTCCCCAGCCAAATCCCCCAGATCGCCTCTTTGCTGAGCGGCTCAAGGCTCAGGACCATATGGAGAAGCAGCCACACAGTTTAGCCAAATCACAAGCCACTGGTCCTCAACTTTCCGGTAAAGAGATGGATCTGCCTTTTATACTCTCCAAACCCCCAAATATATATCAGGAGCTAATGGAGCCACCAATAACCTAACAGCTCAGTTGATTACAGCTCATTAAACCTTTGGAGTAAATACGTACACCAGGGTGTATTCCTTTTTATTTATTCGTGATATTTATCTTATTTTACCAGCAAAAGATAACACAGGGCACCTATAACAAAATACCTGCAACATCCATCAAATTACCTGTTCCTCCCCTCCATGAAACAGAACTAAAACATCAGCACTCATGATAAACAAAATCAGCACGAACCCACAGCACTTATTAAGTTGAATTAAACACCCAAAGCCCATCTAGTAGGGATGCAGGGAGGGTGGGCACTGGCGGGACTTCTGGCTGGGAGTCTCCGGAGGTCCCTCCAAACATGCCCCCACCCCCTGGCAGGAAGTCAGAGGAGGCTCTGTCCAGCTGGCCCACCTAGGAGTCACTTTCCTCCCACTCGGCTCCAGGCACTCCTTGACTGGGGCCCCGCCTGTTCTGGGCTGCCTGGCTGTGATCCGGGCACCTAGCAGGCCCTCCCAGTCTGTCCAGCACAGCCCCATCTTCTCAGATGTGTAGAGGCCTGGGAAAGCACCATACTTGGGGAAGGCACAGGTGGGATTCGAGGCAACTGGGCTGTCAAGCACCCCAGAAAGCAGCTATGGATAGTGCCTGGATGGGGCAGGGATCCATTCAGTTTGCAGCACCCCATCGGCTCAGTGGCCAGCTCACCCCCCTTCAGGTGAGAGCAACTCCTTTCCTGCCTATCTCACCTTCAAATGTTCTGCAGGCCACAACATCTGCCCTCACCCACCTGTCTACCCAAACAGCCCTGCCTCCTTGGATGCAAGGCAGCGGATGGCACCCTGGGTGACCACTTCACCTGGGCAGCTGCCAGCCACTAGAGGTCTGCTGCAATGCAAATTCAGCCAAAAGGGAGGGGGTGCAGGGGGAAAGTGGGAAGGAGACCAGCATGCCCCAAGCCGTTGAGCGAGGACAGTCCTGGGAGGACTCTTCTTGGGGGAATGGCCCTTGCAGCTCCCTGCCCTGGCAGTCTGCCAAGATGGGTGGCAGCCTTTTTCTCCCTCCTGACACTTCTGGAAATCAGAGGCAGCTGGACACACAACCCTGCGCTGACCAATGCCCCAAGGATGCTCCCGGCTAGCCCCTTAAATAGCTTTAGAGAAATGCGGCTGAGAGCTGGATCCTGAGACTCACCCAGAGGCCCCAGACTACAAAGCAAGGGGGCCCCCAACAGCAGCAGGAAGACTCTCAAGGCAGGGGAGACAATCAAGCCCTGCCAGTTTCAGCCATTGGGGGTCTCCAGCACGATGAGAAAGGGGGGTTGCCCTGCCTGTATCTCAGCCAGACTGGCTCCCCCAGGGGCAACCTGCTCCCCCTCCTGCCCTCCAAGCTGCTGCTTCTGGCTGCAGGACCCATTCAAGCACAGACAGTGGGCAAGAGGTCAGCCCTGGCTGAGCGGGGAAGTTCATTGCCAAGGAAAGGGAGGGTGGCCAGGCTGAAGGGCTGGTGAGCCCATAGAGACAGGCGGGGCAGTTTCAGGAAAGCCCCCCCCCCCAAAAAAAAAGGGCTCAATGGGGGGGGAGGTCTCAGGGGGGGGGGGGGGGCGGGCTCATCCCTGCAGCCCCCTGCTCAGTGAAGCTGGGAAGGGCGTCAACTGGAAAGGGAAGGGGAGACAAGGTCAAGCCCACCTCCCACTCTGGGAAAGCCGCTCGCCTTCTAGCCAGAGTACCCCCTGTGTCCAGTGTGGCCAATGGTTGTCTCTGGCGCCTCCTCTTCTGGGCTACAACTCCTCATCATTCCCAAAGGAGCTTTTTGGGGGGGAGCAGCACAGAGTGCAGTGGCCACATCCAGGTTTTCCTGCTGTCTGCTGGGAGTTTGCGGCTATGGCATGCCTGGGTGGCTGTCCGCAGGGAGGGGCAGGATGTCTTGCAAGGACATTCCTGCTCCTCCTGGCTCCCCAACAAACCACAGATCCACCCCACTTGTTCAGACCCCACACTCTCCGGCCTTGGTCCTTCCCACCCGACCAGGAGATGATGTCCCCCAACGGGTTGTGCCCTGGAAACCCCCTTTGAGCTGGAGGATATGCAGCCGGCAGCCGGAGCAGAGCAGGAAGGGGATCCCCGCTGCCGGTCCCAAAGGATCTTCGAAGAAGGGCTACCCGCGTCCCCGGCCCCGCGGTTTCTCCTCCCTTCTCCCCCCTTAGGCTGATCTGGAAGGGTCATTTCGAGCCCGGAGGGGCTTTGCTCGGGCCGAGGGCGCCGCCTATCGCGGTCGGGGGAGCGAAACCCCAGGCAAGGCGCGGGGCGGGGGCGTCGCGCTCTCAACCGCCGAGGCAGCGAAGGGGCAGCGGGCAGCGGCCGGAGGGATAATGGCTTCCAGCAAAGGGAAGGCATGTTTTGCCGTCGCGACGGCCTCCCCCATCTGGGTCCGATCCATCGCCTCCCCCACGGTCTCCAAAGGCGCCCCCTCCCTCCCCGACCGCCCCCGTCGCCTTACCTTGGCGCTGGCCGGGTGGCGGAAGGGAGGGAGGCGTCTCGGCGCGGCTTTGTGCGCGCCCCCGGTGGCGAGGCGGCCGGGCGGAGGGGCTCGGGAGCGGCGCTGGGGCTGCCCTCTGCGGGCTCCTGGCAGGCTTTCACCTGTGGGAGCGACCTCCGGGGGGCGCCTCGCCGCTCCGCCTCGGCCACCCCCACCGGCACCGATGGGGCGCACGGCCGCAGCGCCACATCTGCGCCTCGGCAGGGCGGGCGGGCGGAGAAGATGCCGCGCGCGCGAGCGAGCGAGGGCGGCGGCGGCGGGGGGGGGGTGAGGCGAAGGGGAGGGTCTCTCCGGCTCCCCTCCCCCCGCTCTGGGACGCGAGCGGGGGGGAGGGCGAGTCCCGCGCGGATGGAGGAGGCGGCGCCTGCTGGAGGGGAGGGGAGGGGCGGGAGGCGGGGAGGGAGGGCGGCCCCTGCCCCTTGTCCTGAGCGACAACCTCCGGCTGCGGATCTGCGGAAGAACCAGGCTGGGCGGAGCGGTGGCCCCGCGTCCTCCGAGGGGGCGGAAGGGGGGCAGCGCGCCAGCCTGCCACTTCCGCCGGCGGGGAAGAGCCGGGACAGGCCGGGATCACACGGCTCAGCACTCTCCTCGCCGGCTTCCTACGGGTCACCTCCGGCCCGCTGCCTTTCTGGGCTGGCGGGCAGGGCGCGGAAGGCAAAGGGCGACGGCCGGGTCCGCTCTGGGATTTGCCTCCTTCAGCCTCGGGCGCAGGCCGGCCGGGGCTTCCCCCTCGCGTCCGCCTGCCGAGGAGGGAACCTGCTGCCCTCCCCGCCCCGTAGCCTAAGCGGGCCCGGACTTCGGGCCCCTCCGCCCAGCAACGTAGGGCCAGCCCGGCGGCGCGGCTCCTTCCGGGGGTGGAGGCGGCGCCAGTCCGCCCAGATAGGGCGGGCGGAGCGGGACGCCCTTGCAGGCCACGGCTGAAGCTCTTTGGGGCGGCTCTGCCGGGCAGCAGGCTAGTCGGGGCGGCCATTCGCTCCGGGCCTGAGATGCTGCGACGCCGGCAGCGAGATCCCCGAGCTTTTTCGCCTCAGGCCGGCCGTGGCGCCCTCCTTCCTCCGGCCTTGGGGTCGCCCGCTCCGTGAAAGGCGGCCAGCGGCTGGCTGGCGTCCCGAGGCTCCCGGTCGGTATGCGGCCTCCTTCGGCAAAGGCGGCCAGCTGGGGCTCCGCAAAAGCTGCTTTCTCCCTTTGCTCTCCTTCTGCCGGGCCCCTCGGCGGCCCCTTGTGAGGGCAGAAGGCGCTCAGATCTCTGCCCGGCCCGTCGCTCCTCAGCCTGGGCCACCGATCCGCGCCCCTCGGGATGCCTCGGGCACCGTCTTCCCTGGCCGAAGGAGGGGATGCCAGAGGGCCGCTGGGACTGGCCGCCATTGCCTGCTGGGGTAAAGCTCCCGGCCCTTCCTCCTCTTTGGCAGGGAGCGGCCTGGCCTGGCAGCAGTCCCAAGGCCTAAGGCTGCTCTCTAGTCCGGATGGAGAAGTTCCCCTAATGCCACAGCCCTTCTCCTGGTGCCCCCGGGGCCCCTCTTCAGAGACTAGGCACCTATGCAGAATTGGAGGCACAGAACTTCCCCATTGTGGAGCATCTGCTGGGGGTTTCACGGTGAGTCATGTACCCCTCCTGCCACCAGAGGACGGCTAAGCCTGACCTCAGCACCCCTGAACGCGGCTTCTTCAGTGGGTTTCCCAATAAGCAGCAAACGCTGTACCTGTCCCCTGCCATTTCTATTTCAACGCACAGCCCTTTTGCCACGGAGGTTTAGAATCTGGCGCAGGATTCTTCTAGCTGGTCTTCACAACAACTTGGCAAAGTACATTCTGGCAGCGGGGACTTAAAATCACCTGATTACCATGCTCGGGCTATCTTTGGGGCCTGATCCAACCAACACAACTAGAGGCCACTGCCTGGGGAAAGCATCCCAGGTGCCTCCCCCATCCACCTTCCCTAACAATTGAGCCATCATGTGTCCGGATGTTTGTGTGGGAGAGCTGAAATTGATTAATCTGACACTGGGTTGGAATTGATGGCCTCCCATTTAAATTATTTCAGTGCTTATGTCTGGGTCTGCCTTCGCCCAGCACAAGCTGCTAATTTGGAGGGGGGGGGAACGATGGCGGTCAGGGGATTGCTGGTAACGCCTGGTGCTTTGCCATCAGCCCAGATCAAACAGCTCTATGGGAGGCTGAAAGGGGGCACTTAAGACCCATTTCCCAGCTGAGCTGTGCCAGGGCAGGGAAGGACTCCAGCTTTTTCAGCACCTCCAAGAGGAAGGCTTTACTCACTCAAGTAATTCAGGAACTGAATCGAATCCTTTGCACGTTTTCCTTTTGTTGCTGGAATTGTTCTTATGTGCCTGTGATGATTCTATCTGGTTTTTCCTGCTTTGCCTTTCTGGCACCTTGTATTTTATGTTTGTGATTTCTGTCATATAGAAAGAGAACTTTGGATCCGGGTCAATTTAAAATGGGAGAAAGCAAATAAACTCTGAAACTAGATGGCTGTGCTGTATCCTCTTAGCCACAAGGGGGAGGACCTCTGGCTGTGGTGCAGACCCTCCTCAGTCACAGCACTTAGATGGTGAGGGGGCACCGAGCATTTCCCCAAGTGGTTCACTCCTCCAATTCGTTCTGGGACATTTGGCCTCTAACAAAGACGTTTGTCCTGTTCTGGCATCCCTTTCTATGGGGCAAAGAGGAAGAGGAGACGTCAAAAGGAAAACCAGACTCTTCACTCTTGGGAACTATAAACATGCAAAATGGGAATTGCAGTCAAGCTGGTTCAGTTCGAAGGCGTGGAAGGAGCTATCCTTTGACTCCCCAACCTTCCAACCTGATTCTCAGCATGCTATCCATGAGTTCTTTGGTTTTGGCTAGCAGAGTGTAACCCCACTGCAGCAACTGTCTTGACTATAGCTAAGGGTTCAGATTCTGCCACAGGGACTAACCCGGTTACTTGAGCATGTGTTGCCATGGCTAGATCCAATGCTGTTGCTGTTGCCCACGGGCTCAGACTGGATCCAAGAGAACTCCAGATGCAGGTTCATCTCCCCATAGCCCAGCCTTCCCTTCCTTGCCGTATCTTCCCTGGACAAGCACTTCAGGAACAAAGAGGCACCAATGCTGGCCAGAGTCAGTTCTCCCATCGGCTTTTCAAGTGACCAAGACCACACTCTTCTGCTTGCATGGGCTGGGTGTCCTCCCCAGGCCGGCACTAAGCTTAAAACTGCATCCAGCCATAATGTTGACACTTGGACTTTGCTTTGCATTCTCCAATTGGACAGGGCCTATGGCATGAAACCACCCAGAATGGTGGGAGTTGGTGGGCTATGTCTTTCCACAGCACTGACATAGTTCACCTTGGTTAGCTGATCATGTAAATGTTAATTGAGGTGCTGGGTCGTACAAGCTAGAAGGAACCTTAATTCACTTTGGCTTAGTGTTTTGTGGGAGCCTGACCAGGTGTCTGGTCACTTCATAGGTGGAGGAAGGGGGAGGTGGCAGTGGAAGGCTGATCAGTAGCACACCATAGCAGTTGGTCAAGTGGGACCCCTGTGCCCAGCTATATCCACCGTTGTGGCGTGGCCAGAAGACCGCCAAGCCTAAGAAGCCCGTGAGAAGAGGCCCAGGCAATCCTTCAGCAAGAAGGACGGGCCCAGGGCAGGCATTGCCTGGTACATCAAGGGCCAGCCGCCAGCAAGCTGGCAGAGTAGCCAGGCTTCTCCAGCCCTTGCCTGTGGCTGGCCTAGGACAGGGCTTGGTTTGCTCCGCACAATGCCATTGGTGGGGCTTGGCCTGGCCTACTCCTTAAACTGGTTGTTTGAATAAGTTGCAGGGAAATTGGCCCCTACTGAAAGTTCCAGTCAAGGCAGACCTCTGTCCATATCCAGTCAGCTGTGTCAGAGTACAAATCCCAGCATCCCTACTTGGCCAAAGTAAGGCTTCCACAGAGGCCCTGGCCTCTCCTCTGCCACAGCCCTAGCGGCTGAATCAGGCCAGCCCCCAAGTCAGTCGGGGAGCACCAAAGCCTCCCCACACTCGCCGGTTCCACCTGGAGATGCCCGCTCTGGCAGCTGCTCTGGGGAGTAAGGCAGCTAGCCTGTCCTGGCGGGGAGAGGCCGGGCTCTTCCCCCTCGCCTCCCGCCCTTGGTAAGGCTCAGCCACTTCGCCCCCCTCGCAGGCTCCCCAACTGGGGGCCGGTCCTCGCCCCTTCCACGCCGCCAAGAGCCCCGACGCCAGGAGGCTGCGGGCCGCCGAACCAAGGCCGAAGGAAGCGGCCGAGCCCCGGACCGCTCGCTGCGAGTTCCGAGCGCCCCGGTCAGCGCCGCGCTCGGGCCGGGCCTTCCTCGGCGGGTCTGCCGGCTGGCACTGCTGCTGCTCCGGCTGGCAGGCGGGAGGGCGGCGCGGCAGCCGCGGCGATTCGCCCTTTGTTTACATGGGCCGGTGGCTGGCGGAGGCGGCGCCGGCGGAGGGAGGGAGGCGGGCTGGCGGGCGGGGGGGAGGCAGCGCTGCGCTCGCCCAGCTGTTTCCCGCCTTGAGCAGACACGCGCAGGGCCAGAGCCGGAGACGCACCGCGGGACCGGCGGACGCGTACTCGCCCGCCGCCCGCCCCTCGCGCTCGCCGCCGCCCCCGATCCCGGCCGGGCATGGAGTACTTCGTGGTGCCCGCGCAGAAGGTGCCCCCGCTGCAGCACTTCAGGAAGACCGAGAAGGAGGTGATCGGCGGGCTGTGCAGGTGGGTGCGCGCGCCGGGCGGGCGGGCTGCGGCGCCGGGCCCGCCGTGGAGCGCGGGAGGGACGGGGATGGCGGCGGCGGCCGAGCACGTGGGTCTGTTTGCCGGAGCGCGGCGGGCAGCGATGTTCCGCCCCGGCCGGCCCCGGAGGGAGCGGGGGCGGGCGGCGGGGCGAGGAAGGGCGCGGCGGACCCCGCTTCCCCCCGGCCCCCGCGAGTCCGCGCGCCCCGCCGGGCCTCTCCCAGCCCGCCGCGTGTTTACTGGCAGCGCGGCGGCCGGGCCTGGCCGTGACTGTGCAGCCTCCGAAGGGGCGGGCCTTGCCGCCGCGGGCTGCCGGGACATGTAGTGCCGGGCTCGGCCGGCCACGCCGCGCCGCCTCGCACAAAGGCTGCCCTCCGCCGCCGCCGCACGTGCCGGCCGGGGCGCCGCTCTTTGTGCGCTGCAGCCCGCCCGGCGGAGCGGCCCCCCTCGGCGTGCCCGCCCCCCGCCAGCTGGGCCTCCACGTGGGGCTCTGCGCGGGCCCGGCAGGCCGCGGGCGCCTCTCTGGGCCGCTCCGAAGGAGCCCCGATTCGGGCCGTCCTGGCAGCGGCTCTTCCCCGCTTCTGCTCGCCGGGGGCCTCCCAT